TGCTCGCAGGCATAAATTTACAGGCTTTGCTTGATTGCGCCAGCTCCTCCCACGCATTTTCCTGGAATATCCTTGGTGAAAATGAACATAAAACATTTTTCCGTAATCAACTCGCTGCTAAAAATAAACCCAAACTTTGCCAGGAGCTCTGGGCAAATGCTCAAGGCATTTTGTGGCCCATCGGTTTAGCGGCTTAGCAAGTATGGCAACTTCAATTAACCCGACATGATATGCCGCCGGGCATCGAATGACTGGCAATATTGACAGCTCGACGCGAAGCTGTGATCCGGGGCTTCTTACTCGGATAATTGACAGCCAAACAAGTAACTTTTGGCTTAAACCATTTGCAGAATGTGTCAAGCTATCAAGAAATTAAGTTGGGACGGAGGTCTTGGGTGGCCAAGTAAATGTGCGCTTCAGTTCGTATTACATCCTAAACGTGTTGGGCTAAAAGGTCCCCCTAACAGCCTCTCGAAAATAAGCGAATCTAATCTTTCCACTCTAATCACGCTGCGTTGACTTCTTCGTAATGCAGGTAGTCGTCAACTATGTTTATGCTTAAAAGGCTTCAAACAGCCAGCGGCATTACAGTAATTTCATCCCCCTCTCCAAACAACTTCTTCACAATTTAATTGCTGCTGAGCTGGATGTTGCTGTTGTGCTATTGCTGTTGCTGCTGTGCGGCGTTGCTGTTGACGCAGCATTTGTTGCTGCCTTTTTGTTGTCATTATTGTGGCCGCACAAGTTTGTTGTATTACCTGTTGACAAAATTGCCCTGCTGCCTGCATCGACATCCGGCAAGTTCTCGAAAGGCGCACAGCAACCCAAGCTAATGGCAACTTTGACTTGGCTTTAATTAAACAATCTCCCAACCAAAATTGTGGTTGGTCGAGCGTGTGAACAGGGAAACGTATACATTTTTGGCATATATCAGTTTTATTTCATTGCATTGAAATCTGCACAGACAAAAATCGAAATCGATTTCATATTGTGAAAGCAACTTTTTGGTATTTTGTATTATTTGTTTGCTCTTTAAATACTCAATTCTATCACATTGTGCTCCATAATAAAATAAATGTCAATAAAAAATAAAAGGAATAATAAATTTTTTTTATGTTATTGTCCATATAAATATAAGCACCAATGCTTTTAAAAATTTTTAATTACATATATCTGTATTCACTTTTAATAAGTTTCTTACTGTTTATATTCAATAATAATAATTAATTAATAGTATTTTTTAAATATAAATTAAAACATTTAATAGTAAGTTTTAAATTGAAATAAAGACATTTTAAACGAGCTGCAATAAAATAATTGATTTACTTATTCAAACTATCTACATTTTAAGCCAACATATTCTGTATATTTTTTTTCTGAGTGTAAAATTTGAATTTCAATTCGCATAACTTTTCTCAGTTAACAATGTTTGACTTTCCCACACATGGAGAGCTCTCAAAAAACGGCTGATTAAATTTGAAAGTGTAATTGGGCCCAATGCTTGGGAGCACAATGCAACAAACCCAAAGTGCAGGGCACACGCTTGAACTTGAACTTTGAACTTTTAAGCCACAAGCTTATGACGGCATAGCGATTCAGATTTCGAGAATTGGTATTGGACAAGTATTTGCCGGCGCCTAATTGGCAGTTTGCCTTTAAAGGCAACATATCGGGCCCAGAGCAAATAGTTGACATTTGGCTGAGTGCTGTATGCTGGTGGATCGCCCACAACATCCGTTCGTGGTTGAGGCCCAACCCAACTAAGAATTCTTTTGGCCAAAAACTTTGCCGAGTGCCGCTGAATAACTTAGCCCATGTAAACAGGGCGGAGAGCATTCCTCCGCTGCTTTGCATAATCTCGAGTGGAGCGAACATAACGCAGGTGAATATTGCTGCCGTGCATATAGATCCATTAATACGTGCGTATACATAACGATAAATGTATAAATAAACACCAGAAGGGGGCCATTCCCCAGCCCCAGCCACGCATAAATCTCACGTGCAAATGTGGAACAAAGCTCCCGAATGCCCCGCTTCCCGATTTCCAGATGGAACTCCATATAGTACCTCTGCTCATCTCCTCATCTCGCGCTTCATTTGGTTTTGATTTCGTGCTTTTGCGCTTTTCGCTTTCCTGTTTTTGGTGCGCAACTTTAATGGGAATCAACACTCGCTGGTGATTAAATTAAAATTCGGTTCTGGAAATTTTTGTGTTGCGGTCGCGGCTGAATCAACCGATTTTAACCCACTTTTTGGGGCCCGGCCAGCGAATACGGCAGCTTAGCCAAACAAAGACTAGGATGTGATGAAGGAAATAGCCTGCAGAACTCTCCTGCTGCTGCTGGCCAAAAACCTGTTGGCCTCGATTGGCGGCGCACTGCGGTCAAGCTAACTGTTTTGCTGATCAGATTAAAGCAAATACAGAACGCCAGAATGCAAAATATCGAAATGGGTTGCCGTTGCCGTTGCCGCCGGAACGAAACAGGGAACGGGTTTCGTTAACGGGCATTTTCGTGTGTGTCCGATTGGCAGACAGTATATGCAAAATGCAAATCCAGATCAGACGGTGCATCGATTAGTTTGTAACGCCCACCGACAGTTTCCCCTGCGGAATCCGTCTCCAAATGTCAGTCCAACTGATCCACTCGCCTTAGATAGCCAACTTGGCTAACGAGCTGACGTCCTGGCCAAGCATAAATTAGCCATTTTGGTCAGGAGTTTAGCGCTGGACTGAAATTTATGTAGATTTATTTGTGTAACACTTTTGCCGCAGCGACAGCAGCAGCAGCAACACGCCTTGATATCTCTTTTTTCTGGCCAGCAATCTAACCGGGGGGAAACAGCATTCCTGTGCCAGGCCAACTGCCAAACTTGAAAAATAGCTTAAAGATGTTGTCGATGTTGCTGCTGCATTCCATTTCGAGTTGCTGCCGCCACACCATCTTCATTTCGATTGGAGGCTGGACTTGGGCAGACTGCTTTTATATGGTCAAATGGGCCCCACAATTTGTTGTGAATTTTCTGCATTTCTTCGGCCTTTGACAATTTTTTTTTCAAATGCCCGGCTATTTCACTTTTTCGCTCAATTGTAGGCTTATATGCGCGATATCTGGCCATCCATCCACTTGCTTTCCATGAGAACGGGCACAACTCTCATCGCCTTTTGCCTGTTTTTGTATTCGCTGACTTTATGTGTGGCCATAAATAAATGGCCAATCGATGCCGCAACCGAATGCAAATGAGTGAAAGAAAAAATGCAAACAATTAACAAAAAACAAACCATGGCAGAAATAGACAGAAAAACAAACGGTAAGGAAAACCGCGAGCAGAGTCTAAAATTTATGGTAACAATGCGAGCAAAACAGCAAAAAAAAAGCACGGCAGCAACATTTAGCTGGCACAGTTATGCAATTTGCCATCCGCCCTTCTCCCCTTCATCTTCATTTGATGCCAATTGTTTCTGCGACCGCATTGCACACAGCCGAGATTTATGCATATTAACGTCAAGTCAAAACGCTGACCCAAAACTGAAAATCCAGCGGCAGCGGCATCTGATGCAGAAATCAAGCGTGGCAGCAACAGAAGTCGAGCACGCCGGCAACACTTAACAATGGGTCAACTTTCCTCGGCTCTGGCGTTGATAAATGTTGGCCAAAACAAGCCAAAAACTGTTGTGTTAGCTGCTGCTGTTGTCATCTTCATTGTTGCCGTTGTGGGTGTTGTCGCCGCGGCAGCAGCAACACCACAGACACCAGCAACACTCTCCCAATTAGGCGCCTTAACTATGTGTTTGGTTCAAGTGACACACTTGCGTAGATGCTCACAGCCATATGGAGAAGTTAATGGCTTAAAGACCTCAAAATCGTTACATTGTTGGCTGCTGATTGGTGTTGTTGTCGCTGGGAGTAGTGTGAAGTGGTTCACAAGAAACGCCCAAAATTGCCGGAGGCATTCTGAGCAGATCTTCCAGATAAACAGTCCCAACTTGGTGACAAGTAATTTGATCTTCCAATGATATGCCCGCGAGAATAATATCAAGAGGGTACTAGAAGATAATTATGTACCATAAAGTGTCTGAAATACATTCCCAAAATTAGTAGTTCCATTAACTTTAGAGAATAAAAGTATTCCATAGGAGTTCCCACAAATTACTCATTATAATTTGCCTAATAAAGTTCTACAGGAAATTTAACAGAATTACGAATCATTCTCTCTTTGTTTCATAAATTATCAAAATTTATGGTTAACTCCTTAGATGGAAACCAGTTTGCCTTTGAATCATTTCTAGAAGCTCTGCCCAAATAAAGCCGTCCATTTTAAAGCTATAAATGAGTTGTCTGTCTATTTGATTTGTGCGGCATTTCTTATGTTTTTGTTAGACATTGCTGCGCCCGTTAGCATGTTGCACATGCAGTTTGGGCCGGGTTTAGAAAGTCATTTGCAAGTAGACGACAAAAACAACTGCAAACAGAAGTCAAGTAGCTAACGAAGTGCGGCAGCAACTGGCGATTACCCAACAGCAATCGAATGCTTGTGCCGGGAGAGATGTGACAATCAAAGTTAATTATGTGGTTGTCGGACCATCCATCCCTTACCTTACCCACATTTTCCCAACTACCAATCCACAGTCAACAGTTTTCGGGCAACCACCCACAAAGTGAACAGCATCAGCAGCAGCAACATCATCATCAGCGAAAATTTCAATAATTCCATTATCAAGATGAAGATTGATTGATAAGCTGCTTGGGCAAAAGGCAATTTGTGGGCATGATTTCAGAGGCTGGATGACCACATGGCACAGTCGCAATTGGCAGGCTTAACTTCTCCACTCAATCAATATTGAGTCATGCGGCAGAAGTTGAGATTGCGTTGCAGGCGGCAGTGAAAGTTAATTGTGTGCTTGCGCAATATTTTGTAAAGAAAGTTTAGGCTTATGAACTAACAAAACCTTATTATCAACTAACCATGACTCACGATTACTTTGATTTTTTCCCTTGCAGAATATGGCCTAAGGTTGATCGTCGGAGGGAGCAACAAGCAACGAAAAGCCTCAGCGATGTCGTCCTCGATCTGTTCGCACTTCACCCAGAATGCCTGGAAGAAGGACCTGTGCTCCAACTGCTTCAAGTCCAAGGACGAGCACAAGGCAGCCGCCGCAGCAGCCGCCTCCAAACTGGGCGGCAGCCATAAACCAGACAGAGAAGTTAAAACGGATTACCCGAACAAGCACAAAACCCCGGCCAAGAGCATCATTAAGAAGGCTTTTGGCGTAAGACTGACCAGCTCCAGCTCGAGTTCCAGCTCAGGGAGCAGCTCTGGAAAATCCGTGAACTCAAAGGGCGGCAAGGTGTGCTTTCCCAAGCAGCTGCACGAGGTCATTGGCTATGGCGGCGAGTGGTCGGAGGACGATGACGACGACGATCACGACTTTATGAATCTTGGCAATGAGCACGATGACATGGCCATTACCGAAACGGATGACGAGGAGACGGTGGAGCTGAAGAGGATCACCCGGGCCAACACCGACTTTAATATGAACAATGGCAATCTTCTGGGCGATGCCGAGGATAATATCAAGAAATCCTTCGCCGCTCTAAAATTAGGAGCCCCTCAGGTGGACAAGGAGGGAAAGAAACAGACCCTAACGATTAATGTGATGCCTTTTGGCCAGCCCCTTGGCAAAACGGCCACGACTGCAGCCAAAACTGCACCCACGGAAAGCAAAAGCACCGCAGCAACATCAGTTGCCACATCGGCTGGGGCAACACCAGCAAAAGCCAAGCCAGCAACCATAACCACAACAACAACAGCCATCAAAAGCAGCAGTACATCTACGGGAACTGCCAGTGTTACCAAAAAGGTGACCACCACTCTGACGCCGACGTTAACCATGGCCAAAAGCACAACGGCAGCTGTCACATCTTCCACGGCAACATCTTCGCGAGATGGCAAAGATAGTCCGCCCATAGAGCGAGCCATGGAGAAGTCACTGCTGGACGAGATCTCGGAGACCTTGGAACAAAAACAGAAGCTAAGTGAGACCAGTGCGACCGAAACATCTTCGGGCGGAAGCAGCACTTCCACTTCCACCAGCAGCAGCAAGATCAAATTCGAGCTGAGTGCATTGAGTGACTCCCCGAAGCCATTTCTTGACCTTAAGAAGCCCATCGCACGGAATGCGCCCATCACCAGGGACCAGACCAAACCCAAGGTGAATGTGTGCCACAAATACTCGGATACGGACAGCAATTGCTCGGACACGGAAAATGGAGTGTCCGCCTACTACGATGTGGTGGAGACGCAGCTGAGCTACGAGAATCTCCCGGACGGCAAGTACTCCGAACAGGTGGGCGTGGCCACTGCCGCCCAGACCGAGAGTTCCGGTAATTCCCACTACTCCAGTTCGCAGTACATCACGGACATGCTGCTGAGCTCAAAAACTCGGGCGGCCAGTTACAATCTGCACGAGGGCAACTTCATGACCAGCAAGATCACCTCCGACGGTCTCATTGTGACCAAGTGCAGCTCGGATGACGCCCTGGACTCCACGGGCAGCAGTTTTGATGGCAGCTCGGATGAGGAGAATGCCTACAACATGATCCGCAGTGAATCGGATTCGGGAATCGGCATTAGTCTGGGCAGCGAATACAAGAACTTGGGAATGGCCAAGGGATCGGTGGTTAATGGAGAGAAGCGGCAGCTTTTGGTGGAGAAGAAGCTAAGTGCTAGTACCAATAACTCTGATTACGAGGATATACAGATAGGAGATCAGGCGGTGGCCAAGCCGGCCGTTAAAAGCAGGGAGCTACATGGCGAGCCCGATGGCAGCGCCGATCCAGACAACAGCCTGGAGCAGCAGCAAAAGCAGTCGCAACAAAAGGAGGCGGAGCAGCAGCTTCCTGCCTTGCCAAAGTCACCGCCGCCGCCCATGAAGATCGATGCCAGGCCGTCGTTCCTGCACGGCTTGAAGAAGCCAGAACTGCCGGTGAAACCACTTGTTAATAATCATCCCAGCAGCAACAGTTCCAGCAATAACAGCCAACTAAAAAGTTTCCTGGGCAAGCGGCAACCCAGCTGCGCCGAACAGCAATTCATCAACCAGCTGCAGTCGGCCATTTCCAAGTCCAGCGAGAGTCTGATGTTGGCCAAAGAGAATCTAGCCGCTGACGAGGCCAAGCTGAAAAAGGGCAAAGCCCCGAATCCGCCGCCAGAGCCAAAGCTAAGCGCTCCGCCCACGCCGGAGCGAGATTACAGTCTGGTAGTTGAGTTCGAGCAGGCGACGAAAGCGGCAGCAAATCCAGCGGAAAAGGCCACGTCATCGGGCCCAGGTGAGGCATCATCGTTGGAGAAAGAATCAACTGTAGCAGGTGTTGCCGCGCTACCCACAGGAGCAGCACCAGTTGCCGCTGCATCTGCAACTGCATCAAACAACAGCAATCTGTACACCAGAAAGCCCGCTTTTCCGGTGACGGCAGCAGCGCCTGTCATCCGCGAGAAGGACAAACGCGAACGGGCCGTGATTAACCCCAAGTTCCGGAGCCTCAACACATTCGTCATGCAGCGGGCCAATGCGGCCAAGCAAATGCAACTGCAATCGGCCAGCTCGGTTCTGAGCCTGAAGCAACCGATGACGCCAGAGCCAACGCCCCGGAATCAACGTCACCTCTCCATGTCGGAGGAATGTCTGGCCGCAGCTGGCTTGGACAAGAAATCCCCCTCGGCCTCGCCGCCCCAAAAACAAAAGTCCAAGTTCTCCATCAAAAAGTTTCTACGCATGGGCAGCAATGGAGGCGGCACAAAGTCTGGTGAATCCATGGGCAAAAAGGAGGCCAGCATCTACACGGAGATTTGCACAGGCACGGAGGAGGGAAGTCCCTCGGGTAAGCCCCGCCTGGTGATAATTCATCCCATCGACATTAATCCCACGGCCGTGGAGGTGGTGAAGGATATCACCAAGACCAGTGACTCCGTTTCGGCCCAGACGGTAGCCGTGGTCACTGCCAAACCGCCTGCCCCGCCCCTTCGATCGAGCGCCAGTGAGGGGCAGCGCGTCCACGAGGCCAACAAGCCGGCACGCCCACCGCCGCCAAAGAGCGCCGAACTCCGGCGGAAACAGAAGACCGAGCTGACCGCCACGCTCAGCGCCAACAGCGTGGACTCCAATGTCCTGGCATTGCCATCCGGCAGCGGATCCGTCAAGCTGAAGGCCGACAACGTATACGCCAATTTAGGTGAGTGTAATTTTATAACATTTTATAAAAAGTTCTTTGATGAAAAATACTTGTATACAACTTAGTAAGACAAAGTTATAAATGTAATTGTTTGTCTTAAAAATTTTAACAGTCTTTGATATAATACTGATAAACAAAAAGAAATTTAAGGTAATATTAAATTTTAAAAACTTTAATTAATGCGAATTAAATAACAGATATAATCTAATGCCTTCTGAAACATAATTAATTATCTAAAGTCAGTATTTTGACTATAAATATTAACGTATGTTTCAGCGGGCATTCTATTACATCTGTTACTTGATTCGCAATTATTTTATGCTAGGTTTATTAATTTAGGCTAAGTCGTTTATTTTACAAATTTTTAGAAAGTACTAAATACTAATGGAATAAGATGATCAATAACTTAGATTTTACGAGGTTTAGATCAATCTCATCTTTTTATCAAGCTTTTAAAAATAGTTCGGTATTAACTAAGAAAAGTATGAGCCTTAACCGACTCACAAAACTGGCCTTAATTACAGAAAGCATAGTTAGTAATTTATAAACATAAACAAAATCATCTTGAAAGGAATTTAATAGAGCATTGCTCAGAATGCCACCGACTAAATATTATTTGAAGTGTAAAGCAAGTATGCTTTGAATTCGCACACATTTTCGTTTTGGGCCACTGAAATTCATGTATAATGAGTAAGCGGAATTTGGCCAATCATGAAGTTAATTTCCATCTCGTTCCCATTGACCCGATTCCATGAGCTGTGGGTGAAATGTCCCCTTTCTCCCGCATCCATTTCTCCCGGGAGCTGCGATCGCATTCCAAAAGAAAGCGTAAGCAAATCACGTTCACTGACAGCGCCCAGAAATTGGGCGACCTTCAAAACAGCCAGCTCATGTATGGTATATACATATATGTGGGTCTGAAGGGTCTCGGCCACTTCACCCACTTCTGGCAACTTGTTGACTTCAATTGCAGCCACAAACACGGCACACGAAACGAGAAACGAGTAACAAGAACACGAATAAAATCACCGTAAATGGTAAAAGCTGTGGCAGCAACTCCTCTGAAAGTAGAACCCAAAACCAAACGCAGAACAAGTTACGCATTTTAATCAATATAACGGGCGCACAGACGCACACCGAAGTACGGATACAGGTACGCCACTTATGACCATATCCGCCGCATCCAAACGAGTGTGATGAGCCGGCTCGAACTGGGTTAAGTGGCCAAAGCCAGAGAGCAAAATAGTTTGCCAGATGAGCGGGCTAGTAAAGCAGCAAAAAAAATCGAAATGAAAATAAGCCAGGCCAACCCAGGCCATGCCAGACCAATGAGGTAACCACATGTTGATGGTTAGCCGGAGGAAAGAACCGACTACCGACTGGTGAAACTGGCGGACCAGAGACCCATTTCTTTCGGCCTGACACTTTGCGGTCAACGCGAATGCGGCGAGAACTTGTTACACCTGCCGCTGCACCTGGCACCTGGTCATAAAAAACAGCCAGCTCCAGAGGCCTGGCTAGAACTATTTGTTAGACATCTCGGACGATGGCCAGAGCAGAAGCCCCAGATCCAAGAGCAACCACATTCAACCTGACCAACAGCGGCGTGCGAATTGTAATTTGGCACGAATTTGGGTCAAAATCGCAATTAGTACTCACTGGTTGTCTAACTACTTGGCCCGGTGGGAAGAAGGAGGGTGGAGCTGGCATTCTGTCGGTGGATTTTCCTCAACTCTCGGGTGCCAGCAAACATTTGGCATCGCCCCATGAAGGCCAATAGCACATTTGAGGTCAGCTGGGAAATCTTATGAATAAATTACCAGTATGGCAGTGAAAAGTTGTTCTTCCCACCTTTTTAATTGTATGTGTTTATTGGCATTTATGCCTATATTGAATTATTGAAAACATCTTTAAGCAATAAAAACAATTTTGTGACCAAATATCAGGCTTAAAGCTTAGATTACAAATTTAAAAAAATCAATTTTTAGTAAATAAGTTTAACTTTTATTTTATAGACTCAGTAACAATTAAATAATGCATTACAGATTCTCATTAAAAGTGACAAATGTTATGTAACACAATAAAATAAATAACGTAAGTCTTTTGTACTTTGTGTGTATAGTACAATATTTTAAAATGTTGTCACCGCATTGATACTATAGTACTTAAATATCAAAATACTTCATTAGTTTTAGAGAACAATACAAAAACATTGGAACTTTAAACTGTATAAATAAATTATTATATTCCGTATAACTTCTGTAACCCTAATTCTTCTAACCTGAAGTCTAAATAATTTAAACTATTTTTTTTGTTAAGGAAAAAGTATAAGTTAAGATAAAATGCAGTTTATTGTGTTAAAGAATGTTTCACTGAACTTTTATGTTATTAAAGACTTATCAATTCGAGGCCTGCAAAAATTTCTACCACTATTTAGTTATATAGGTTTTTAAGTTACTTCTGAATGGTACCTCCTAAAGACTCCTTCACTAAACACTATTCAATTTACTTTGTTTTTCAGGCGAGATCCGCTCCTCAATCGCTCCACGCAAACCGGAGCGCACAGCCAGCATGCGGGAGCGGGAGGCCCAGTTGGAACTGGTGCGCAAGCGCGGAGTCCTTACCGACACTATCTCCATTTGCTCGTCAAACGGTGACAATGTAGCCACGGATCAGGGAAAGGCAGTGGCCAAGACCAGTGCCATCCCCAATGGCCAGGAAGCGGGAAAATCTGCATCGACTGCCAACAGTAGGACCAGCACCTTTGAACGTCAGCCACAAAAGAAGAGCGAGCCGAAAATGTCGATTTCCAGTAAGCTGGAGATCTTCGAACAGCGATCTATAGATGCTGCGGATGCTGCCCAGCGGAGCAGCCTCAAGGATTCAGTGCGCAAGATCAACAGCACCATCGATAGCTATCTGAAAGACAAGCGCGACTACGAGAACTTATACGAGTTCGTGAAGATGGGTTCTCCGCCGCCGCCCACTGCTGGTGGCAACACCACGCCCACGCCCTCCACTTCCACGCCTCCACCGCCACCAACACGCAGTAACATCGATCTGTCCGTGGCGGGTCAGAGGTTGACACAGGCCACAAGACGCAACAACATCTACTCGGATACGGCCTCTATCGCCAGCTATACGCGCAGCGAGTACGGACCGGTGCGAAACTACGGATTGAACAACAGCTTGGGTAGGTTTTGGATCCATATTAAGTTCCCATTGAATTGTCATTTGAAATTAAAGAATCGTTGTTTCGATGAATCGTAGGTTTATGTAATCAGTATTAACCATATGATTTTTTCTAATATATTGCTTAGATTTCTCTCACAAATAACTGATAACGAAAAGGTCATAGTGATCTTAGGGTTTAATTAACAGTGGTCATAGTCTATAGAGTAATTTTTTCGATTAATCGTCAGGTTCATATAAAAACATCTATATGATTGTTTAAGACGATATGTCTTAGATTGTTTATACAAACAACTTATGTGTGATCACCAGTTGCTCAAAAAGCTCATAACGTTGTGTAGTTAGAATTAAGTTGCTCATAGTCAAAAAAAATGAACTGAGTAGTTGAATCTACTTATCAAACTTTTAACCTACTAATGCAGAACTCAATTCTATTTTAATTTCCATTCAATGTCCAAATATAACTTACCCCTGATTTCCACTTTCAGCCAACATTCCACGCATCATTTCCGCCTCGTATGCGGGTAGTGAGGTGGGCGAATTCGATATTTATGCTCCATACAGCTATTACGGAAGCGAGGCCGGCGGCGATGTGGCCACGGACATCAACGACAGCGTCTGGGGCATGCCACAGGTGGGCTTTCCTTTAATACACATTTTATTAAACTATCCACTAATTTTACACTCTATGCCATAGGCCAATAAAAACCGCAGCAAGGCCACGAATCGTTTGCGCATGCGCAAGGGACGCAGTGTCGTGCACAAGACCATAGAGGACAACTACACCGCCGTGGTGGTGGCCAATCACGAGGCCCTCGCCCAGGTCCTCGATCAGGTGTGTATCTTAGTGGAATACGATCATCTTTGGTTTACACTACTAATCACTTCACCGATTTTTTACTCTCACCAGCTCCAGCAAACTCCAGTGGTGCCGGCAGCCCTGCGTCCTCTGGCGAATGCCATAAACTTGCGTTACGAGGATTTCACAATTTTGGAGGGAGCCCAGGCCTTTGTGGTGGGCAAGAAGGCCTTCCATGCGGCCCTGTGGAGCTCATCGCCGGTGACCTTGGCCCTGTCGGCTGACTGCAACCAGCTGGCCGGTGTGGGTGGCGAACTGAGCCAGTTGACCGGCGGCGTGAGCGATGTGCTCAACCCGGTGACCGAATTCTGTGACCTGGTGCCAAGCTACCAACTGCCGCTGATGCCCTCGACGGAGGTGACCCTGCTGCAGGCCACCATCTCAGTGCTACCGAGATTGCAGCTGGAGACTCTTCAATCGATTGGATCAATACTCAAGGGCAAGTCGCAGGTGCTGGACAAGAGCAACTTCAACTTCCGCGGCTCCATTCCGAATCTCAGTGGACTGAAGGATGGAAATGGTACCATGGCCGGGAATCTGAGGAACGTGGTCTCAGTGCAGAATCTGAGTACCCTCAACGAGGAATCCTCGGCCACATCGATGGGGGCAGAGGATGGATTGGCGAATGCAAATGCCATGCCTGCATTCGATGATGTGATGACGCGGGAGGTGGCATTCATCATGCTGCAGCTGGTCAACGGGATGAAGAACCTGCAGGCCAAGGCGATCGAGGAGACGCCTCTCAGTCTGTCCAATGTGGTGCTGTCCAAGGACATGGACAACAAGGACGCCCAGGCGCGACTTTGCGTGCTGCAAGGGTGAGTGTAAATCACAAATCATTTAAAAAACCTACTAATTGACTTTCTCACCTCGTAGAAACAACAACGACGACGACGAGCCCATGGGTACCCTGTGCAAGTGCGCCCACTCTGCTTTGACCGATATGCTGCCCGCCACAAAGATCACTCCCATCCTGGCAGACATCCTGCAGCAGGAGCGAGCCGAGTCCCTATCCAAGGCAAAGGCCGTGCTGGAGTTTGTGCTGTGGGGTCCCTCGGATGTGGCGCTTTCGGGTTCGATCAAGGAACGGGAACTGGCCCTTCAGAGGTGGTTAGATCTGGAACGGGCCACAGTGCTTCATGGCTTGGTGCGAACCCGGGTCGAACTGACCGTTTACGACGAGTGTCATCTTATGTTCCTCGTCCGCTCCACGGCCAAGATGATGAACGACGCGGCCAAGATCGTGTGCAGCTACCAGCAGGCGAATGGATCTGCCAGCCAGGATTAGTTCCAATTAATCTGCTCTCTGCTAAAGGCATTATCTTATAAATACTATACGAAACTGTCATAGACACTTAGTCCTTAGAGTCAACGAATGATATTTTCCGAATCGCCCCATATACACATACTATACATATAACTTTATCTTTGCCCAGCGTGCCAAATTGTTTCGCGCGGAAATTGTCATGTAAAATATGCTTATCGTATGCAAACTTAAAAGATTTGTGCAACTTTAATTAATTCGTAATCTACAATTAAGTCATTAATCTAAACGAATATTTATACTTCCCTATACGAGTACGAAAATTGGTATAGTTCATATGATTTAAACTATTATCTATGAATATGCCAACAATTTGATTAGCAAAACAAAACTTTTTGGTGTTTGAACAAATACATAAATATGGTAAACATAAATAAAATACTGTCTAAATAAATAAATGGATTTCCATAAGAACTCGTGGTTTTTTGTTATATGAATTTTTGTTTTGGGTCATCATCTGATCTGATGCAATTTTTACTGCTTGCGGGTGAAATTTTGAAATTGTTTGAAAGTAATTTTCAGCTGAATTTGGCTTTGTTGCCCAGCTGATTAGATATAATGTTTGCACCAATACTCTCGCATTACCTCACCAATATTTTTTAGCCAATCCTATCAGCGATAATACTGCTTTTTGGTTTATTATACCTTTGGGATATTGTTTGGGATACTATTTACAGCCATATCTTCTAAAACATTACATATTTTCTTTAGATAGCATTTCACAAATATCTCGACACGTTAGGATAAATTTTTTTATTTGTTTTATTTTACTGCCCTTTAACTAAGATTAGGAACTTTTTGCATGTCGTAAGTAAAGGGTACATTTTAGTCGATATTGTGGTGTTTAAAAATATGTAGCTTTTTTAATGACTGAATGTTTTCCTTATGTTTACGTAGCAATTCACAAACACTCGCGAACCAGTTTGGCGCTGTTCTCTCTTGTGAGTGTTGTTATCGCCGAATTTAGCAGTAAAGCTCGCACGGCATTAGAAACATATAAAGCTTATAGAACAAACGGCTAGTATGAGTAGTTTTGGTTTGGCCGTGAACAAGCTAAGTTCACAACGTATAAAAATGTTGAAAGGGCGTATCGGTCTAAAAATACTACAGTCGCAAAAAGCGGCCCTATTTTCTGCCAGTCAACAGGTAAACAAGTATCATTTTTATATAAACAATATTATGAAACTTTATTAACTTCAGTATTAAAATCATTTTTAATTGGAAAACAAATTAAAAAATTCAAATGTTAAAAAAATCAAACAAAAACACCTTTTAATGCGGTAAAACAGTGTTGACGATCGCACTTTCAACAAAAAACATTTCTGATATCCAACTTTGTGACGAAAAATAAATACTTTTTAAAATTTTAACATTCGATCCGCTTCAGCAAAGAATTTAAGCTTTTTGTCTACAAAGGCATTTTTATTGCAAAGGCTAACTTTATTTTCATGAAATAATGAAAACCTTTTCAACGGACCATCGGATCATAGCAAGTGCTGTGTTATTCGAAACGCATTTTGAACAAGAATAAAACGGGAAATCAATTAATTCTAAATTTATAGTTTTTCACTTTCACTGCTCTTTCTCCTGAACCAATGAATTGATATACCTTTCGATGATCGGACCGTTACTGACGATTTTTAATTCTGCGGCTATATATTGTAGCCGCCTATACACACCCTCCTGTTGCGAATCGTCACTACATGTGCTTCCGTCCATAGGGTACAGAATCTCATAATAATAATAAATACAAAATCTTATATTTGGAATATATTTTAGCGATGGCAGACCAATGTCGCTGCAGCTGAGACCAGAGACGATCCGGAATGGCTCCAGGCCAAACCGTTCGAAGAGATTCCCCAAGCAAATATGCTATCTTTATTCGCGAAAATTGCGATGCCCGGTGGGAAATACAAGAATATGGAATTGATGGAAATGTTTGAGGCCATGCGCCAGGATTATGGAGATATATTCTACATGTCCGGTATGATGGGGAGCCCCGCGTTTGTAATGACGCACAATCCCAAGGACTTCGAAGTGATTTTCCGTAATGAAGGCGTGTGGCCATACCGACCGGGCAGTGATACATTGCGCTACCATCGAACCGTGCACAGAAAGGACTTCTTTGAGGGCGTTCAAGGAATCATTCCCTCCCAGGGTAAATCCTGGGGAGACTTTCGGTCCATTGTAAACCCCGTCCTTATGCAGCCCAAGAGTGTAAGGGTGTACTACAAAAAGATGTCTCAGGCTAACCAAGAGTTTGTGCAGCGGTAAGACAACTTACAAAAATGATGTACAATTTATAAATAATAATCTTCATTTAGAATAAAGGACATACGGGATGCCACCACTCAGGAGGTTCCTGGCGACTTCTTAGGCACCATCAACCGCTGGACTCTTGAATCCGTATCTGTGGTGGCCCTGGATAAGCAGCTGGGTTTGCTGAAGGATTCAGGGAAAGACAGTGAAGCAACCAAGCTGTTTAAGTTCTTGGATGACTTCTTTATCCTCTCAGCCGATCTGGAGATGAAACCATCTCTCTGGCGGTATATAAAAACACCACAGTTGAAGAAAATGTTAAAAACTCTGGATGGGCTTCAAAGCATTACTTTGGCCTATGTAGACGAGGCGATCGAGCGTTTGGAGAAGGAGGCTAAGGAGGGCGTGGTACGTCCGGAGAATGAACAAAGTGTCCTCGAGAAACTGCTTAAAGTTGATAAGAAAGTGGCCACCGTAATGGCCATGGACATGCTGATGGCAGGAGTTGATACGGTAAGAAGTCAGAATAATAAAACTATAGAAATCCTAATATAAATATAATTTGTTTGTGTCTAGACTTCAAGCACCTTTACGGGGCTTTTACTGTGCCTTGCCAAGAACCCCGAGAAGCAGCAAAAGTTGCGCGAGGAGGTGATGAAAGTGCTGCCCAACAAGGACTCCGAGTTCACCGAGGCCTCCATGAAGAATGTCCCCTATCTGCGAGCCTGCATTAAGGAATCCCAGCGTGTGTTCCCCCTGGTCGTTGGAAATGCCCGCGGTCTATCCAGGGATTCAGTAGTGAGCGGCTATAAAGTACCAGCTGGTACCTTTGTTTCCATGATTCCTATAAGTTCCCTCAACAACGAGGAATACTTTCCAAAAGCTTCAGAATTCCTGCCTGAACGCTGGCTACGAAACTCCAGCGATTCCGGCGGAAAATGCCCGGTAAACGATCTGAAGACCAAGAATCCATTCGTATTCATGCCCTTCGGATTTGGTCCTCGTATGTGCGTTGGCAAACGCATCGTGGAAATGGAACTGGAGTTGGGCATCGCCAGACTCCTTCGAAACTTCAATGTAGAGTTTAACTATTCGACGAAGAATGCTTTCCGTTCTGCTCTTATAAATCTGCCCAACATACCACTGAAGTTTAAATTCACTGATTTGACTAACTAATCTGATTTACAATTTAAGAAATGGTTTGTGATTGATAACTTAAGCCTTTTTTTTATTTATATACTTTGTGTCTGTTTTTAGTTAAAAATATTTTTAAAATCTTAGAAGTATTGGCAAACACTGCCAAATGTAAAAACAAATAACTCAATAAATCAACAATTTTTATACAAAAGTTTTACCCTTAAGTGTTCTTCCTATTAAAATGGGACATTTTATTGAATTGACCTTCCTTTTGCGTATTTTGTAAATATTTCTAGTTTAAAGTGCTAAAACGTGTCCGATGCCGAAACCGAGAATGCTGAGTCTACAGAAGTGCTCATGTGCACTTACCGGGTACCGAAGGCCAAATTTCTTCGGAACATAATTTATTTCACAAAGAATTATTTTCGTTCTTATTAATCTGACCAAGTGATAAATGAAATGATAAGTTAAGGGTTGTTTGTTATATACTTTTTTAAAAGGTACAAAAAAAATGTTTAAATAAATCTATTATCTTAAATAATCTATTAAACAATAAACTAGTTTTATATATCTTACTTAGTTGAAGCTAATTTTAATTAAATTAAAATACAGCCACAGCCTTTTAGACCTGGTTCAATATCTCCTAGTCATGGTGAATACAATTTTGTTGGCATTGACACTGACTGATATGAATGGTTGCCCCTAATCTGTTTGTGTTTATTAGGGGTTCGTTGTTTGTCGACGTCAAATAAAACATTCTAAAAACATGTCACATCCTAAAGGGCGTGAATGTTTATTTCCATTACACTATAAAATATGTATAAAAATATGCGAACACTATGAATACTTTATAATTTAATACATAATATTTATCAACTCTTCAATTTGCTCTCTCGAACCTGTTTAGACGCCAGTTTGCTGTGGGTCGCGGTCACTATCTCTCTGTTTGTGTGTTGTTTTCGTTCAATTAAGCGTTAAAGCTCTCACAGCTTTAGAATTATAAAACTAGCACTCGGTTCTCAGTTTTAATTTGGCGGTGAACGAGAATAGTCCCAAACATCACGAAAATGTTGAAAGTACGCAGTGGTCTCTCATTAATTCAATCGCAAAAAGCGATTCTAACGCTCGGTTCTCAAAAGGTAACAAGTACTAAGTATCAAGAATTAATCTAGGAACTACTAGGCGGTTTATCAAGTGGAGTTTTCTTTACGGTGCCATTATTCACCATTGGCGAGCAAACAAAGCAATCAAAACGAATATATATATTTCAGCGCTGGCAAACTAGTACGGCATCGGCTGAAGCTAGAGACGATCAAGAATGGGTGCAGGCCAAGGCATTTGATCAGATCCCCCGCGTCAATATGATGTCCTTGGTGATGAAAACGTCCATGCCCGGTGGCAAATACAAGAACATGGAACTGATGGAGATGTTTGAAGCCATGCGACAGGACTACGGAAACATATTTTTTATGCCCGGCATAATGGGAAACCCGTCCTTTCTGAGCACCCACAATCCGATGGACTTTGAGGTGGTCTTCCGTAACGAGGGAGTGTGGCCCCATCGGCCGGGCAACCATACACTGCTCTATCATCGCGAAGAGCATATGAAGGAGTTCTACCAGGGCGTCATGGGAATCATTCCCACCCAGGGAAAAACCTGGAGCGATTTTCGTTCCGTCGTTAATCCCGTTCTAATGCAGCCGAAAAATGTGAGACTCTACTACAAGAAGATGTCGCAGGTCAATCAGGAGTTTGTTCAACGGTAAAAAGCTCTGAACTAATATAATATGGTATATTTTAAAAATCAAATTCCATGGCCAGTATTAAGGAAATAAGAGACGTTAATACTCTAGAGGTGCCCAGTGACTTCATAGACACCGTCAACCGCTGGACCCTTGAATCCGTATCCGTGGTGGCCCTGGATAAGCAGTTGGGTTTGCTTAAGGATTCGAATAAGGAGCAAGAGGCACTTAGGCTTTTCGAATACCTGGACGAGTTCTTTATAGTATCAGCGGACCTCGAAATGAAACCCTCGCCCTGGCGCTATATTAAAACCCCTAAACTGAAGCGATTGCTGAAAGCTCTGGATGGTATCCAGGAAGTCACATCGGCCTACGTTGACGAGGCCATAGATCGATTGGATAAGGAAGCTAAGGCTGGTGTGGTGCGACCGGAGAACGAACAAAGTGTCCTAGAGAAATTGCTGAAAGTTGACAGGAAAGTGGCCAGCGTTATGGCTATGGACATGCTAATGGCAGGAGTTGATACGGTTGGTATTTTCTAATACGATCTCTGAAGTCACCGACTTATTCCAGTTTACTCCCAGACTTCGAGCACCTTTGCAGCGTTCATGCTTTGCCTGGCCAAGAATCCTGAGAAACAGGAAAAGTTGCGGGAGGAAGTGATGAAGGTGCTTCCCAACAAGGACTCCGAATTCACCGAGGCCTCCATGAAAAATGTGCCTTATCTACGAGCCTGCATAAAAGAATCAATGCGCGTTCGACCACTTATCATTGGAAATGCTCGTGTCCTTTCTAGGGACGCTGTTCTCAGTGGCTACCAAGTGCCAGCTGGAACTTATGTGAGCATTGTTCCTCTGAGTGCCCTTACTAAAGATGAGTACTTCCCACAAGCTTCAGAGTTCCTGCCGGAGCGTTGGCTGCGAAGCCCCAAGGATTCAGGGTCAAAGTGCCCGGCCAGTGATCTTAAGTCCACAAATCCATTTGTCTTCCTGCCCTTCGGATTTGGACCTCGAATGTGCGTTGGCAAACGCATCGTGGAAATGGAACTTGAATTGGGTATCGCGCGAATCTTTCGAAACTTCAACGTGGAGTTCAATTATTCCACTAAAAATGCATTCCGATCTGCCCTGATCAACCTACCAAACATTCCGCTCAAGTTTAAATTTACTGATTTGCCAAACTAATCTATGATTACTCATATTTTAGTTAAAATTGTTCGGCCATTTTTTGTTGTACAGTTAATGTAAAAAAAATAATATCTTTAAGTCACCAATGTTTATTGCGGTCCAAAGGCAAAATGAACAATCCAAAACATATTCTACAAATGTAATCGAAAATTAACTAAAATTGTATATATTTATTTTATAAGGTTTTAACGGAGCACCTAGCCAATCCATCAATAAATAAAACACAATGGTTTGTCTATACATTTAAAGCTATTTCATTTCCAGTTAAATACACACTCATATATATATTTTTGTATCTTTGTAGATGTATAAGTATACGGATACTAGACATTAGTACACTCAATACGGTATATGGTACATTCGTGGTAAACATTTTACAACAGTTTTACAGTTAAACAGCTCATGGATTCCGGTAAGAAAAAGGGCAGGTGCAGTGACCATAACTGCATTGCGTACAATTGGATTTGGGTGTTTTTGTTTTACCAATTTCAACAATAAAATAGTTATCTAGCTTAAAGGGCAAAATGCTTGTAGAGAGTAAATATTCAATGGAAATTCCTTGGTTTCTCTTTTATTTTTAAGGTATACATCGAGATATATATATTTCTTTTATCATAGCTTGTTTTGTTGTTCATTTTTTTCGTATGGGTTGGTCCAAATTGGATATTGAAACTTTAACAAATTGGTTCACTTGGTTTTATTCCGCTCTTGGATATATAATAGTTACGAACAGTTTTTATATATATGACTTGAAAAGAAGTTGACTTTTTGATTTCATTTTGTATTGAATTTCTTTTACATATGCATTTAGTTTGGATTAATGAATTGAATCTAGAATTCAACTAGGAAATTGATTTGGAAGTCTGTTTATAAAATCAATAACAATTCAGTCCTAAATTATGGATATGAAAAGGACTTCGTTGGATTCACATTTATGAGTTGGAAACTTATCGGATATTTGAGTTGTTAATTAATGGTTGGCATGCTTTAGTATCCTTTTAGTAAGCTTTAAGAAAAAAAACACTGTATGCCAATTAAGGCAAATACTATTCGCTCTTGGCGTCCCAAACATTCCCATCTTGCTCGCACACTTGGCTAGTTATACATATTTTATTGTACGCAACTCATGTTGGCAAACTGAATTTTTATGTTTATACTTTAATGCACAATCGATACGCAGTGGCAGGCGAAAGAAGTACACATGTGGGAGTCTTGATATGTGGGTGCACGTTGGTGAGGCCATAAAAACCGAGAAACAAGAAAGTGAAAACAAAAAGGGAAGAAAAACGGAGCCAGGCTTATATCCTAAGCCACATGTGTGATTGTTTTCCGTGTTCGTATCTGTTCCCAGGCCAGTGTTTGCGGTGCGTGCGAGCGCAATAAAATTTAATTTGATGCAGGCACAAACAAAAGGGCCCCATCCAACTTCCCCAAATACAGAAGCCGCCGTCAGAAAAAATGTGAATTTTTTCCCGGTTCACAAACGAACGAAAACAAAACAGCAGGCCACAAAAACACTGCATAGTTCTGGGCTGCAAAATAAAACCACAAATGCGGGCGGGACGGAAGTGGTTACAACTCCATGAAAGGAGGATACAAAAACCACCTCACCGCAGCCCCCGTTTAAACGGGCGGCTTAGGACCGAGAGGCGTGGCAGCGACATAACATGCAATAAAAATGTGGAAAAAGGCGGCAATCCGAAAAAGACCCTGAGGATTCGGATACGGAACCCCTGCCTATCTCAGCCTGCCCAAGAAATAACTCAGAGTGTGTGAGTGGGATGTTAATTAGGTTTTGCTACACCGCTTTGAAACTCAATTTGAGGTGCTTTAAGCTGACCTTTGCTCGGTGGCACTTGACCTGCTTCGGATAGACAGGCGCCAAGGCTTGAGCCGCCATAAATTTGAACCGACAAGGACATTAGAGAGGCAAACCTTTTCCTTTTTTCCACCCAACGTATACGTGCATATATATACGTATATACATACATATGCAAAACAGCAAATCAATTGTCGCGTCGCCTGCCACTGACAACAACAGTTGTCCAGGGACGCTTCGTCCGGCAAATTGCGATTACATGCAGGTTTTTCGTTATTTAGATTTTCGGATTTTAAACACGTTTGCTTGGGGATTTAATTTCGACAGCGTGCGATCGATGCTTCATTAAATATATAAGCATCATAAGCCCTGCCACAAACATAAATCAAAATCGCTTATTGATGTCTGCGCAACACGCTGCGTATACTCGATGACATAAACGTGCCAGCAAACAATAGAAGACAAGAAAAGGAACCTGGGGGATGGCGAATACATACAAGTGACATCATTTCTCATGGCAACAATAAACGAAATACATTAACTAATATGAAAACAACAGAAAGAAAAAGGACTAATGGTGGCAATGGAAGTAAGCCACCTTAATTATGAGGCGCGACCATAAATAGATACAACAAATTGTGGCGGGAACTCAAACGGTAAGGAATATGCAAATGTCTGTCATGCACCTCCACTATTCACTATGGACTATAACCTGCTCAATATTTTCGGGCAAAGCTTGGCGTGCCCGGGTTCAGAACGCGGCAATAATGCGAGGTGGTCACGCAATACGGATCCTGATCCAGATCCCCTCCATCGTCATCCTCGTCGCCTGTGGCCAGTTGGTGGTGGTGTTGATGCTGCAGATGTTGCTGCGTCTGTGGCCGGCGACGCATTGATAACGGTCATTGCCGCTGTTGCGCGTTGCTGATAAACTCGCCGTGTTTTAGTACCTTGATAAAACAGATAAAATGGAATTGAAATATATATTTGACACTTTTAACACTGTTAAATAGATCATTTAAATTTTATTGACTATGTAACGTGTGGAATGAATAGTATTCTGTTGCCGCGTAACATTTTAGGTTTAACAAACCAAATTAAACAAATTATTTATGGCACAAGGCGCACAAAAAATTTGTGAGTAATGATCTTATCTTTCATATATTTATTTTCTATTTATTATATTTTAAGATTGCCACTTGGTGTGTTTAAACCTATAAATAGTCTCAAATAAAATTTAAGCAGTCAATCCTAGACTAACAATTTTACGTATGTAAAGTTAAAATATAATTAAGCAATGTTTTTTCTAGCAAAACATTAATTTTGCATTGAGATAAAAAGAAACCGATAATACCAAAAACATGGTTTTTGGAAAGCCGCAATTAAAAAAACAAGTGCACAGAAATCAATAATAAACAAGAAAGGAAAGCTAACTGCGGGCGGAGCCGAAGTTGATATACCCTTGCAGAATATTATGTTCACTATATTCTCCAAATTTATTCATATGATGCATTCTTAATACTCATAAAAAATCCCAACTTCCTAACTTTAAAAACACCAAAGTTATGGCATTTCCAATCGTTCAGTTATATGGCAGCTATGGGATATAGTCAGCCGATCCTTATGACATTTGGTAGGTCGGATTGATTGGCCAAATATAAAACCCATAGAAAATACCAGCTTTCTAACTTAACAAACACCATAGTTATGGCATTTCCGATCAATCAGTTATATGGCAGATATAGGATATAGTTGGCCGATCCCGGCCATTCCGACATCTATACTGCGTGCAAAGGAAAGAAGGGTGTGTGCAAAATTTCAATTCGATATCTTTAAAACTGAAACAAAACAGACGGACAGACGGACGGACGGACAGACGGACGGACGGACAGACGGACAGACGGACATGCTTATATCAAGTCAGGAGGTGATCCTGATCAAGAATATATATACTTTATAGGGTCGGAGATGTCTCCTTCACTGCGTTGCACACTTTTGACCAAAATTATAATACCCTCTGCAAGGGTATAAAAACAAATTTAACAAACTTTCATTTTATTTGCAGAGTTTAAATTGCAAATATTTGTAATTGTTTAAGTATTCTTTAGTTTCGATCGGAAGCAACTTGCATCCCTGATTTTCATGGAAACTCATTCACTTACCACATCAGCCACAATGGGCTCCTCGATCTCGAGTCCCTGCAGCGTCTGTTCGCGGCTCAAGTGCAGCTCGTAGGAATCTGTGGGCGTGACGAACACCACGCGATGCTTGCGTGTCTGCAGCACATTGGCAATGACCAGCTGGAGGATGACGCGGAAGAAATTAGAATTCGGATTAGAGGGCTTCTGGCTCCCACCGACCAGCCTTAACTCACCTTGTGCTTGTATTTGTTGAGGCTGTCACGTGCCTTCACAATCAATAGGCTCTCGTCCGTTTCCAGCTTAAAGGACACCACAAAGGCGTGCGGCACCCACAGGCTGGCGAGGGGGCCAGCATTTTGGGCACCAGCTGCAGCGAAATCGTCGGCGCTCCATCTCCCGATTGCATTTTGTGGGTGGGCTGCAAAATCCGTTGACAGCGGTTAGTGTTTTAATGGAATGATGGGACCACGATGCGTATACGCGATGTGATGGGTTTGGTTCGTCGGTTGGCTGGTTCGTTGCCCACAAAAGCCACCGCGGCAACATCCTCTTAAATGGAGAGGACGCACACACAATGCAACACAGACACTCGCACGCACACTCTGAAAGCAAAGTGTCCTTGCAAAATAAACAGACAGACGGCAAAATGAAAGGCCAGGGCTGCCTTTCAGCTTTCGCTTTTTTCTGTACTTTTTTGCCGCCACGTGGCATATGAATTACAACTAATTGAAAGCATAACTCAGCCGTAATGAGCTAACGTCAACGCCTGGCTGCACATCCTGGGCAAGGCTCTTTTTAAAGCTATGATCAAAATATTGCGCATACGCCGTGTGGGCAACCAGCAACTTGTTGAGTGCCCCTGTCCGTTCTCATTAACTGAGCAACGCCGTAAGCTGCTCTAAGCTGCTGACCAGTCTCATTTATCCGGCACACAAAAGCGGGCACAGCCGGACAATGCGGTCGGACAGAAAGATAGACGGACAGTCGGACGGACATGCCTAAGTAGCCGAACATTGGGTGAGGAGAAATGAAAAATTTAGCTCAAGGCATTAAGTCGACAACGAAATACGAAAGGAAAGTCGAAGGAGGGGAACTTTAAGCTTTTTTGGGAGGGAAAAAGTTTGTGGCTCTTGCTCGCTGGGAAATGCTAGCAGCTGTTGACATTGAATTTGCTTTTCCTGCTTTCCCGCTTTTCTCCCTAGAATCCAACTGCAGTGTGCCTGTGCGTTGATGCGTGCTCTTGTAAAATCTTTTGATTTGATTTGCGGATTTCGGCACGTCGCCCTTTGTCCTGCTCACGTTTTCGTTTTGCCTTCACTTAGTTTACTCTTTTAATTTTCTGTTTGTTTTTACTTATTACGAGTACAATTTACTTTCGGTTCATGCCCAACATCCCTCCTAGCCCCGATTTAATTCAAATTGTATGGCAAGAAGTTGCCTTCTTCTCGGCCTGCGCATAAATTTGTAAAAGACTTTTAGGCCTTGTTTTCTGTAGGCGTGTGCGTCGTGATGATGCGATTGTGAAATTGAATTTTTAGTATCATCTTGCAGTGTACCATATACATTCATTTATATGGATGTAAGCAGCGACAAACTTTGGCAAGTGGTTCGGCAAACGTGTCTGGGCTGTGGTTGTTGAAATTCAGTATGGGACCTGACCTTGGCTTTAAGGCTAACGAGATGGCGGCCAGATCTTTAGGAATGAGTTTTCAATTTTCCAAGGAACTCTGCTAATAGCTAATGGAGGAAAATAGATTTTAGTTGCCTACTTTTGAGCAGGCAAAGTCCTTCAAACACTCGAAGAACAACTTGAACGTGGTTTATTTTCAATGCATCGAGCTTGACTGCTTCTATTTATACATTGCCAAGAGGTTATTATGCAAATTCAAATCGATTGCAGGCAAATCGGGTTGCCCCCGGGAGAGACTCCGAGCAGCACTCAAAGATGATGCCAAATATGCGCATAAATTTGCCCAGACACGTGCATAAACATCAACAGGCCATTTTCGCCATTTTCGGAATATTCTACATCATGCCTAGGCAACGAGCAGTGAGGGTATCTAACAATTTAATCAAGTGAACGGACGATTTGTGGCTAGCACACACGTTTAGAGAGACGTGTGCATACACAGACAAAGTGGGCGAATGTCTTAAGCGGGAAAGCGAACGGGAAATGCACGAGTTGAACGGAAACAAGGCGTAGGAAATGCCACGACGATGCTCGGCATCGGAATCAGAATCAGGCTCAGGTGGTTGGCGGTGGCAGGAGCAAAACTTCCGTGCTCACCACCCATAGCATCTACCAATGTAGATTTTTCAATCTACAGCCGATTTCACTAAGACGTTTTATTCTTCTCCAAATTATTTTGTTAATAAATTTACCGATGAAGCAAAAAGAAAAAATATTTTCCCTTTTACCTTATGCTTAAAAGTGGTATAAAAGGTTTCAAACTAATCGTTAAGAAATTAAATTAAAAAGAACCCTGACCCCAAAGGAAATTAACTTTGATTTTCAATAATTCTACATTCGCAAACTTTTTAAAATTTTTTTTTTTAATATTTTTCACTTGCAGTACAACTTTTAAGCAAAATGTTTAAAAGATGAGTTAATAACAGGTCGGTTCCCAGAGGAATCGCAGTGCTATAACCGTGACCTCCACTGTATATTCCTATAAAATGCACGTGCGATGGTATGTATGTAAATGCAAACGGGCAGGTAAATAAAGAGGTATGACGGGCGGAGCCATTCACGCCCCACCAATGGACATTTGATGCACTTGAAAGCCTTTTGCTGCTGCGCCAACAAGTCAGCTGACAGACTGATGTGGGGATCGGGTCCTGACAAGTAAACACGCCCACCCACCCAGTCGATATAAAGCTGGACGGAAGTGAAAGGTGAAAGGAGACTAGAACAACTAGAGGGAGTGGCGGGAATCAAGTGAAGCGTAGAGCAGAAACACGCTAACAAGCAAAATTATGCAAATCAAATTATACGACGACAATGTTAAGGCTGCTGGCGGACAAGGCCACAAGGCCAGCGTGAGTGACACTGACAGCCTGTGATAAGGCTCCTGGTGGCCAGCAGTGGGAGCTAGAAGAGCTGGAGGGAGCTAGAAGAGCAGCAGCAACCATAGTTGACTTAGCCCAGTCGAACGTCAATAATGTGAAGAGGAAATGTGTCACGGGCAGACCGGGGACTTCCACAGCGACTGGGAATCGGAAGGAAGCCCAGGCACAAGGGCAGCGCAACTAGAGACACACTAAGAGAAAATGGCAATAAAAAGTGCCTAAGATTGCAGTAGAGTTCAATTAACCCTTTCGTTATTTTAAAAATGTCTAACATTTGCTTTTTAATAATTAATTAATGACATTTCAAGTCATTTCGTCTTAGGATTTTGAAGCATTTAAAGTGACTTTCATCTCGACAAAAACTTTTTAGTATTTCATCTTTTCCGCAGTGCAGCTTTGGAAATCGATAAAAACCTATTTCCACTCACTCATTCCGCACTCGCTCAGTGACGAGCGCAATCAATTACTAGATTTCCCACATGGCCGCCCACTTCCCCCATCCGGACGGAATCTCATCTTACCATCATGTCCTCGGGTATGTAGAAATCGGATACGGCCGCCGCTAGGTAGAGAACGGCACGCTCCTCGAAGGCGGCCAGGCACTCGCAGGCGGCCCGCAGCAGCCACATGTAGTCCACCACACTGGTGAAGTTCACGTACAGAATCATCTGCGTCTCGCGGGCGATCTTGTACTTGGCCAACACCGGTGCAAACACGTCAACCGAGTCCGGCTTGATGGCTATCGTCGAGCTCTGGCTGTTGTCCGCGATGTCCAGCATGTCGAAGAACTGCTGACCGGTGAAGTGTCGCGTAAAAGGCTCCAGCGACTTGTGACGGTGCATGAAGATCACGGCGTAGTCGTGATCTAGGAAGTATTCCGCTGAAGCGGAGCCCCGCGTGCCAGCGCTGAAGTTGTCCACAAACCGCACCGTATTGTGCTCCAGAGGAACTGTGGTGCCGCCGGACTGAAATCGAAAAAATCATTTTTCTATTAGAGAATAAAATCTTATTTCGAGTGGTTATGAGTTTGTTTTTCCTTAGTTCTATACCGTAAGTTATAAAATCATTTTGAAAATTCCTTAGCGTAGAGTCGAATTAACCCTAAAAGGAGTGGGTTATTTCATGCCTCTAAGTACTATAAAAGTAGTAGACTAATTTTCGGCCAACAAATATGTCACACAGTTTTGTAAAGCAATATTTCGCTAAGTATTTTTATTTAAAATTATTTATTAACTATTTGCTTTTAAAATAAATCACAAATGTGCTTTTCTAATATAATTATTTAAAACCAATACTATTGGATTCAGTCAAGTGAAATATTAATATGTATACTTCTGCACCAATATTTTATCTAAGGTAGTTTATCAAATTTTGCAGATGTATTTACACATCGGCCATAAATCTTAGAAAGACAAGTAACCATGCCTTGCTGGTTACTATTTACATAAACCAACCAAGAATTAGGCTGCCCCCAAAAATAAACATTGTTTGACCCAAATAACTGTTTTATTTTGTTCTAAGTATTACATTAACGAAAGCTAGTTAAGAGGGGTATGGTATTTAAATTTTTATTTGGCCTTTTTTTTAAACTTTTTTATTCTGAATGCACAACATTTAAAGAATATTGCGTTAAAATTTTAGATTCATCCGACTAAAACTTCCGAAGTTTGAACGTAGGTGAGTTAGCTCGTTTTGTATGCGATTTTTCGGTGTCCAAAACTTTAAAAGGCTCTCCTGAAAAGGTGCAATTTCAAAGTCGGTGAACACGACCCAGCAAAATCTACTAAATAAATCGTGTTGAAATTTGCACACAATTTCTGTACCTAAATCCGCAGGTATTGACGTCGAGTTTTTTTTTTTACTGATTATTTTTCATTTTATAATAACAAATATAACGAATTTTTTAGGCTAAAATCACGTTTTTGATTTGAAAGTCTTACCAAAAATCCAAAAATGGAATTTAAAAAAAACTCAACGCAGTTACCTCTAGAAACATATTAACTAATAAACTATTTTTTTTTGGTTTTTTCTGTTGATCCAGTAACGAGTTATGCTGTTCACCGCAAAACCTTTTTTCTTGGAGGCGCCCACGGCTTTGCTGCGAACGCCTTATTTATTATTTTTTTTTTATGAAAATTTTTGAAAACGTAGTTTAAATGTTGTACTTTAATATGCTTGTAAAATAATTGATCTGACTTTAACCGTATCGCGTAAAAAAATTCATGAAAATAGGCCTTAAATTTAATTTATTTAATTAATTTTAAATTTTACCCAAAGTTTAAATCTTTAATGTTTATCGCAGATTAAAGAAAAAGTATATGCAAAAGGCCTTTAAAGTCACATTTAAAACCTCCAAAAATGTATGCATTAAACATTAGAATTTTACACACTTCTATAAATTCACGTAGTTTTTTAATCATGTCATTTCTAAACGAGCCCCTAAACATTCATTGTTTTTCTTGATAAGAATTGTATAAAAAGTGTTTAGAAATTTCTTACAGCCCGTGCCTGTGTTTAACCTTAAAGACTCATTCTCTATAACTTAAATTTATGCACACACACTATATGCTTTGTTTTTAAGGCCCCAGGCGCCTGTTTTGCCATTAAAGCTTTCACCAATATTGGGGTCAGTTTAACGCCAGGTCGCCGGACTGTTAATTAACGGAGTACCGTCTTTAGTGAGATGGTCGGACCCTAATCCTAATCCGTGATGAGGATCCCCTGCTCACCGTGACTAGGACTATGCGGTTCTGGAGTTTGTTGTGTCGCTCGCAGAACTCCTTAAGTAGCGAGCGATTGTCCTCGAAATCCGCGGGCGGCAGGTGCGTGTTATAGAAGTCCTCCCAGTGCGTCATGTTGGCTTATCCCTTTTCTCCTGGTTTGTTTTATTTCTGCTAATTGGCCGCCAAACGGAAGCTCGAATATAACGGAAAAGTGTTTTTCCGCCGGAAACTATGCACTGCTAATTAATAAACACAGACGTTGCGGGAGCAAAATAAATTAATTAACACACGCACTGCACTATTTTGGCGTACTATTTTAATTGATTGATTTGCTTTGCACTTTGGAAAAGGGAGGCTGAAAGGGACGGCGGGGGCAGGAGCGGGGGCGCTGCTTATCAATGGAATCGTAGAGGAGCGCGCGGAAAGAGCGGATTGAGCGGAACGGAGCGCTCTGAACGGGAGAGCGAACGAAAATGCTGGCGCAGCTGTGAAAATGCGATGCGATGTGCACGGCAGCGAGTTTCGCGGGATTCTAAACCGAAAATGCGATGGACTATTGGACGGCGGAGGAGGACGAACTGGTATGCGGACAGGCGCACTCAAAGTCGTATCTTTATTCGCACGAAACGAGGCGCAAGGTTCAAAGTGCAGGCCAAAAAACGCGATGGCCAAGGAACAGCTGATGGTAGTGTTGGGTAGCGCGCGAGTGGGGGCTCACGCGCACTGGTTCCGGCGGTTGCAGCAAACTTGTTGCTTGTCAAGATTATAGTAAGTTCATATTGGTTCACAAACACATCGTAAGCATACAATTTAACTTTAAGTTGCTTAAGAAAATCATTAATTTCTTGTTCTCTGTCAGCTTGCATGCTATTTGGGTAAATGTTAGCGTTAATGAACTAGTTTACATCTTATTGGTACTAATGAACTAGAAAAAGCAAAGTTGGCTGCGCTTCATATACATTAGTAGTGATGTAAAGTGTAAGAATGCGCGCGTTGTTTGAATTCAAATTTAAAGAGAAATGAAATATTAATTATTAATTATTAGAATAATCATTATCTGGAGCCTTCAAAATTTATTTAAAATTAATATTTCTGAATAAAAGAGAGAATGATTTACAATATGGTTAAATCAATATTGGACTGCCGCTTTTTCATGGTTGATAAATCATTTCTGTTGCTATTTGCCACTTATTACCATGGAGGCATAAAATCTCTTCAGTGGTATTAAAATAAAATATATAAATAAATGTGAATTTGAACAGGCAGTAAGAAATTTGCAACGTTTTATCCTCAAATCATATAATCAATTAAGAAAAATAATAACTGATTTAAAGATTCGTTTAAATTTACAAATACTTGTTTATTATCGATTACAAACGTGGGCTCTATGCATATTGTTAGTGCAAGGACGTACAAAAGAATCTCTAGAACAATATCACAGAAACTTAATAACTAATTGGAGCTTGTCAACTGCGCGGCTAGAAGTCGGATTTGACCTTTAGCATCGCCATTAGAGTGTAATTGGGAAGCGGAATGCTTTTCAGCTGTCGTGGAAATTTATGGCATTCATTAGACGATTGAGCGCGCTCTCCATCCTCGTTGTCGCTGGGATTGTCGTCTGAATTGTGTGGTGAGTGCGCACTTTAAACCGAAACCAGGTCCAATTGTCGCGCACCGGATCGGATCAAATCGGACCAGATTTTCAACGGACTACGCCCTGGGCGTTGCTGGCGTGGTGGTCGGGGCATAGACGTGATAATCGATATCGTCGCCACCCGCTTCCTCCTCCAGATCCCGGTTCACCAGTCGCTCGCGCATTCCGTACCGCTGCCTGTTGAAGAAAAGAGTGGAGAATTAGCACTATGGAAATTAGGACAATTAGCCAGACACTTACTCCAGGTGCGAGCGCCATATGACCAGTCCGGCGTACAGGCAGATGGAGACCAAGGCCAGTGCCACCACCACAACGCCGAGCAGCACGTGACCCTGGCTAACCGCATCCGCTTGCACGTCCACCGGGGTCACTTCGATGTTTTCGGAGGCAAAGGTTTCGGTATCCGTGCTGAAGACAACACCACGTCCCTTGAAACGCTCCTCCAAGTCATCAGAGTCATCCATGACACTATCATCTTGATCTGCGTCTCCTGATTCGAGGATCTCCACATCGTACTTGTAGTTCTGGGCCAGCACCAAGTTGGTAGCCGAGTTCAGTTGATCCTCATCGCGGTGAGGATACGATCGCCTTGACTGCTCCTCCGATTCCGCCTCTGAGTCGGAACTTGAAGGAGTGTCCTGGAAAGCAGAAATTATATAAAAATGGATATTAAAGGTTTAAATTCCACAATAACTTCTTAAAAATAATCACAGTCTTATCTTATCTTAAAGCTTTTATTTATTCGTAACAAAATTGATTTGTGGGTACAATTTTGTTCTTGTTGATAATTAAATAATTTGTCTTAAACTCAACAGATTAATGCTTAAATCAAGTTAATTGAGTCCCCATTGTTTCCATGTATCACCATCACCAAACAAAAAGAGGCTCGTGTCATCGATGTGGCTTTCGCTTGTCGGTTGAGTAATTGATTTCCCCAGGCACGTGATTCTATGCGAGTTCTATGCCGAATTTGGGAACTAGTATTTGAAAGTGGGTGGCGCAAAAGCAGTCTTTCTACATTGTGTGTGTGTTTTTTATTAAGTGGCTCATAACTTTTTGAGATCATCTCTATTTATACAAACAGAGTATTCAAAATTAATACATTTTCTGCCAATGCATGCATAAGTGCATTCAATTCAATTCACACAATATCAAACAAAAATAAATTTAAAGTCTGATTTAATTTTGAGTGTACAAATCAATTAAATAGTTGGCTTGGAAACGAGACTAACAATTTAAAATATTACCCCAAGGAAATCGGAACTCTTGCTGATTCATAAACTGAAAATTTCGAAGCTTTGCGTAAGTCAAACTTCTCCCCATATTAATCATTACTTAAAAGCCGACTCGTCTTACCAACGTCTCAATTACCCAAGTCGAAGTGATAACAGTCGCTTTCTGATTGCCAAACACCTGTGAAGTTTTTACTCATACAAAGTTAGCTTTGTTTTCAGCTGTTTAAATTAAGCAAATTGTTAGGGTATGAATTCCATCTTATCAGTAAGGTCATTTAAAACCTATCTTGCATAATCTGTTACCCATATTTTTCCATCAACTAAGTTGTTTACAAAATAGTGACTACCAGAGATCACTCTCACTCGAAACCTTCTGTAGATTGTTGGCCCCGATGACCGCAGGGGTCGGGATGTTAAATTTGTAATTGGCTGTAACAATATTTTACGACTCGTGACTCGTTTCTGACTCTGTCTCAATCCCATTTGCCGTAAGCTACTTTATCTCGTGTAATTGTCCGATTTGTTTACAACTAACGACTAAAAGCAACCCATATAAAAAGGTGACAAGCACGAGATCGAGTTGGGAGATCTCGAAAATCGTAATCTGATCGGGGACAGTCGGGGATTACCCAGGTGGGGAAGCGGCGGGGACTCGATATCTGGCATTCAAACGTCACGGCAGTCGAGGAATTACCTAGAATCGGATTACCACCATGACTCACCAAACTAAACGCTTTGAAAAGGGGGAAGTTTGAGTATGGGTATTGTCTCTCTCAATTATAAGGCCCCCGTCGATGGAATTTCGTGACTAAGTCGATGAAAAGCCTCATTGGCGTGTGATAGCCGCCGTTTCTTTAATTTTATGCAAAGTTTCATTGCGTGTGCTTTTTCTTTTTGTCTTTATAAGCATTTCTTGGGAGCCTTAAAAGGCAAACACCGCGCGTGTCTTGTGGTGGTTTTGCATTTAATCAAAGTGAAAATAAATAAACATTTTTAAAGCGTAAATTTCCGGTTCTGGGTAAAAATAAAACGAAAATGCATTGGCTCGTATTTCACCGACTGGCGCTGGGGTCGTTCGTTACGTACCCAGTGCGTCAGTCCAGTCGGAGTGGTTTCGGCTTTGTCCCGTTCTGTTTCCCGGCTCTTAGCCTGGCCCAGTTACCAGTTACCCCCAGTTTTTGGCCAACTCACCTCCACGACAGCTGTCTTGTTTTTGGACGGTCCTCCTCCCCTCAGATCACTTAGCTCCGTTTGCGATGTGCTTAAATCCTGCGAGGGCTTGGCATGGGCTAAAAGAGAAAGCAATTAAGCAGAAATGAGATAATGCATTCGGTTGAATTAGCCGGTATTCGGTTACAGCTTATCGGGCTACCTGAACAGATCTTCCTACTTACAGGGAAGCGCAAATATTTGCGCCGAGATTTCGCAACTAGCACCTTTCAGCCACATTTCGGGCCATTAAAACACATGGCCAGATATGTTTGCTTATCTGCCAGCTCCGATTTTATTCAGAACCAACCAGACCCAGACAATGCGGATTGTTTTGCTACCACGGCTTTATCAGTTTACTCTGAATTTAGGGCTTCGCTTTTTGGCAAACAAAATGAAAGCGTGTTCGAGCTTTAAAATCGGCATTAGTAAGCACAGAGGTGCTTAACATAATAGTAATGTTTGTTGCCAAAAAATATTTTTTACCTTTAGATAACTTAAAAAGAAAATACATTTTCTAAAAATAGTTTTCTATTTAAATGTTTTAACTTTCCTACAACACGAAATACACACTTCCTGAATTAAAAATATAAATAATCAATTTTATATGATTTAAGAAAGATTTCCATATTATTTCACCGGTTAATTTAAAATTTGTTTCAAAAAATATTTTTTTTATGTTTTGAAACCAATTTTCAAAATACCATTCCTATTTCGTTTACTGCAGCTGTACACATCCACCATAAGATGTGTGTGGATTCTTATGGATTTTGCAAACCTGTCCATATATACTATATAGCACAAACCGAACAATAAACACACATTTCTAGTGCCGCAAACGTTTGCCAATGCCGATTGTCATACGATTCGCATAAACAGCTCACGAAACGCGTCAAAAACGCGCGCGGAAAGCTTCCCAAAAATTCCAAATGAGCCAAAATAAATTCCAAAAAACACATGATAGCAATGACGTCTTGCAATTTATTGCATTTGACATTCGTAAGTCACCCAGTTTTGATTTCAGTACGTGACGATAGCCAAAGCCGTGTCCGAAAGAAAACTTGATCCACTTTTGACAAGTGTCAATGTGTCCAGACTTTCTTATCAGACAATACCTGGTTCTCACATCTTTAGGGCAAATCATATAACTTAAGCATTTGTTTATAGAGTTCTGACACCTCATAAGCTACAAGGTAAGACGGGTGTCTTTTGGTAGTTTGTTATAAAATAATTTAACCAGTTATCACTAGTTTAGAAAGACATAAGAAAGTTATAAGTTAAGTAGAAAAACGTGGGGGCAAATAAGAATTAAGTTAAAGAATGGCTATGGTAACAAGCCACACTACAAAAAAGTTCATTAAAAATTAAAGTTTTTACATTTTTCAAGCTTTAATATTAAAGAATTTTTTCAAAAATATGACATTTATGAGTGCAACAGCTATTTTTTTAGTAACAATTAAGAAAACAAAGTATGTTTTTTTATGTCTTTCGGGTTTCCGTTTCTTGAAAGGACTTAAATGGCATAAGCTATTACTTTGTCCCACAACTGTTTAGTTAACTGCGTATCAATCATGTACCATATAACGCAAGAGCCCTGGCGAAATCTTATCTGCACCGCGAGCCAACTGGAGTCCCCTGGAATTAAAGTCTTGCAATTTAATTTTGCGACCTGGCGGGACCTTGATGGACGATTCATTGCGATGAGACGGCGGGCGGTCCCCTTTCAATAAAACCCCTATATTTATGCGCTGTAAACCTGGCTTACAAAAGCGAGACCAAACCCGAACCGGACCTGGTCTTGGATCTTGACAGGCACTTAAGGCAAAGGGTGAACCGTAAACTGTTAACTGTCTAGCCAAGTGGCCGCTCCATCTCACCCAGCTGCGCTCGAAACTAGTTTCCCTGCAGAAGTGGAAATATCGGGCTGTGCGTCTGTTTACTTGGGTTCTCTGGGGCTATCTATCTTTTATGGCCGTTGTCATTGTAGATATATCTGTTGTGGTACTTACAATCTGCCAGCAGCAGCACCAAAAGAAGCGCGCTGCAGAAGGCCAAACTCTTTCGCAGAGCCATTTCGCGATTTTTGATATGCGGGTTCCGTCACTTCCTTTATCAATTAAGTTCTTATCACACAGGCACAAGTTACGCGCCACCCAATCGCTGAATATTTTGAATGAATGAGTCGTTCTGCGGGTCCACTTATAAATGTTTATTTTATTTTATTTGTTCCGTTGCGCTGACGAGTTTTGCGTGCGTTCGCGACGAGCAATCGGATTGAAATGAAAAAATGAGAGCCGTACGAAGTCTGGCTAACTGCCAAAGCTCGTTTAACCGATCAAGGTCTGAAGTAGCAACATATGTAGTCTTTATCGTAACAGAGATACACGATGTTAGGGGTAGTCAACACTTTGTATTAAATTATTATAGCCGTAGAAAATACTGAAGCTTGTAAATATAAAATAGCGCAGGTATCTCTTCTGTTTAAAAGTTTTCTTCCTTTTTAGTAATTACAAAAACAAAAATTTTGAATTATTTCATAGATCTTGAAAAATCTTATGGTTTTGCTTCAACATTTTAAATTACATACCATAATACATTTATATCTTAATTATATCTATTTGATATATTTATAAACCTATAATTTAAATACAAGAATTAATATTTTCGGAACCATATATTTTGTTGAGCCCATTCCCACAAAACAACAATTGTATTCTTATAATGTTATTAACTTGTTACACACCAATTATTAAAGAACATATGAAATTCCATACAAATTAAAAAAGTAGAATGGTTAAGGCCATCACATTAATGCCATTAAAAATTCGTAATTGTTTTTAAATCTTTGAAGAATATTGTGTGGGGATATTCAATTTTCTGAAAGATATATTTAAAGGAATAAGTAGGTATCCCCAATTAATTAAATGGATTATGTAAAAGTATGGGAGTTTTTATTTTTTACACATAGTAGCCTGGCGCTTATGGTTTCCAACCATAAACTTGGATGTTAGTGATTAAGGTAAGGTAACATAACACTTATATCTCAAGAATTCACCAGTTGCTTTAATGGTATATCTAAAAATATTGAAGTATTTATTTTTTTCTAGACATTCTGAGTTGCGCTCGGGTGTACGTACAACTCTTTGGATTCTGTGTGTACAGTCAATTTGCGGTGCCCAAGCTGCCCTGGGCGAATTCCATATTTACAAGAGACGGGGTCGGGATCTGGATGATGGGGTCGGGATGGGGTGGGGCCTTAAAATACCTAAACTCAACTATACTCAACAATTTGTCTTATGGTCACTACTTATACGCCTATGCCAGCGACATAGCACGCCTGCACTTTAAGCTTCAACGTTTTAGATTTGGCCGGGACACCAGCGGAGGAACCACGATCCCGACGGCCACTCCCCGCACCGCTCGCTGTCGCCGTCCTCGTCGGACGTGGACCGGTGGGGGGCGTGGCCGCGAGGAACGGCCGACCGGGGGCGTCGTTGGGGGATGAGCCGGGCCGGAACCGGCAGTTTGCTGCGCCCGCAATTCGAGGGGGAATCTTTCGCGGGACCGACCAGCAGCCCCTGCCGGGCGGACGCAGTCGACTAGTGGCGGACAAAACTTTCAAAGCAATCGAAAGCGAAACCTTTGTACACACTTGATAGAGTCCTGCGGGTCGAGTTCGTGGTCAATTCGTCGTCAATGCTCAGTGTCCAGTGATCTTTTCGTTCGTTTTGTGGGTGAGAGAATGAGGGAAACTTAAACGGCTCGGTAAAAAAGAAAGGCGTAGCAGCGCGCTAAACAAATTGCTCCTGGCTATTGGCGGACAGCTCCATCAGCCGCCAGGCAGCCTTGGGGTTGAGTTCGTTGCGGTCGCGGCACAGCACCCAGACATAGTGTACCCGCATCACCTTCTCCGGATCGCCCTCTACGACCTGAGCCTTCTGGTCCCGAACGCACATGATCTGCTGCGCCTGGAACGTGATTATCAGCACGGGGCCCTGGTCCATCACCTTGCCCATGGCCAGCTCGATGTTCTCGATGTCGAGGATCTTCGAGTCCAGGTACAAGCCGGCCTTCTTTGCCTCCTTGATGGGCGTGGCTATAATGTTGAACGTGCTCTCGAAGCACCAGTCCTTCAGTATCTCCAAATCGCCCCTGACAATCGACTCCAGAATATTTGGAATGATGTCCGTTTCGCAATCGTGCAGGAAATCCTTCTGATCGAAGCTTGGATCGATTTTCACCAGCTCCGTCATCGTTTCGGATAGCTCTGTTTTTGAGAAGAGGCCGCCCATCACATCGGACACTTTATCGGTAAGCAGGCGGGAGGCACGGATCACGGGGTTTTCAGACTCGTCGTACTTAACCTTCCAGTCAAGAACCTTGTTCACGTAGGTGTTGTTGTTCTTGAAATTCTCCCACGACTCGTAAAACTTCGAGTCCTTGTGCAGCTCCATGCCTGGGAAATGGAATGGATTTGGGTTAATAAACTGTGTTTTATTGGAACTTATTCAAGCTAACCAGTTGCCTCCGTGTTAGGCTCCACAACGCGATCGCTGTCGCTTAAATCCAGCTGGATGCGCTTCCGCAGCTGGGCGGGCGCGCGATAGACCCGATTGTCTATGCTCGCATTGTCCATCTCCTTCTTGATGATCGTCGTCGTGTTGGAGATGGCCTGGAAGGCACCGGACTGTCCCAGTTTGCCGCTGGTGTCCGTGATCGTGTCACTGACACCCCTGGCCTTCTTCGAAAGCTCTTCGGTGACCTTCTTGGCAAGGTCCGACTTGCTGGCATCGTCCAGGACATCACCCACGCGCTCCTTAATGGCGCCCAGCTGCTCTTTTAGCTTACTGGACGACTTCTGCGCCTCGGATTCGACAATGTTGAACTTCTGCCGCGCCGACTTCAGCGCGTCCGACTCCTCCAGCTTCTGGGCCTCCTCGCGGAACTTTCGGATGTTGTCCTTGATTTCCTTGTTCTTGTCCATCTCCGATTTCATGTTGTCGAAGAACTGCGAGAAGAAGCCGGCCCTGCGACCTGGCGCGCTGTAAAACCGCGGCTGCGGAGTAAAGTCATGACTTAGTCCTGGTGCTCCTTGGGGTTTCAACAGCCCAAGGCTCACCTGCTGCTGCTGCAGATTCTGCGACGCCTGCTGGCACGAGAAGAGGCAGGCCCGATCCCGCGCAAGGGCAGCTATTCTGTACTGCAAGGAGAAAAATCATTGAAATCTCGCCCGTTTTAACCTCGAAATTTGCACATGTAAGGGGGTCCGCTTGGGACAGTAAGGAAACCCGGGGTCTGAGAGAACATACCATGGTGGGGAAAAAGGTGATCTTTCGCAGGGGGTTCGACCGGTGGCGAATGTTCGGGAGTATGTCGTCAGAGGCTCAAAACTTTATGTAATTCCTGCCGCGAACCACGCACGTATCAGCAGTCAGCTGTTCTCTTCGCTAAGCGCGCGCCGGTGTTGGAAAACGTCTGTTGTAAGCTCGCGCGTGCGGTAGTTCGATTCGTCGGTAGTCCGATAGTCCCGGGCCGATATCATGCGATGCGCGCGATATTTGAATTGTGTGCAGTGATTGTTGTTGTGCCGGAGTGTGGCGCGTGTGGGTGACTTGTTTTAGGGGATATTTTACGTATTTTTCATTGATAAGTCAAGCTTAGTTGCTGTGTTTTCGTATTAGATTCCATCGCGTGGTGTTCAGCTATACAAGCCCCCTGACACTTGTTAACCACTTATTAACTAGTCACCTAATTGAAAACTAATACATTTTTACAAGCATTTTTTTTATTGAAATCCATTATTTAAAGTCTTAAAATTAAGTTATTTATTTAAAAAAAATTACTTTTGTTCATTGCAGAGATTTAGATAGTATTTATATTTTACGCTGATATACTTAAAACCTAGTAATAATAATTATTAAAAATATCACTTTTATAATAATTAATTTAAGACATGATATCGATATTTTCAGGAAACATGGTACTCCCACCCCTATGCAATAACCGTTAGTCGACGCGCGCAGCTTTACCAAAAATTCCAAGAATTTCGCTGAGATTGTTCTGTTCGTTTAGTAGCTGAAGCCAGTTGTCTCCGGGACATACACTTAAATATTTTTTTTGACTAAGCCACGCACGGTTAAACACCCAAAATTGAGCTTTGTTACATGTACATTTTTTAGATAAAGAAGTAACACGAATACTTCACTTAAATAAACTCCGCTCTGTTTTTGGGTGCAAATCTGTGGAAAGTAGTGTGCGCGATTACGGTAACTTTCAATCCGGACTTTCGCCATGTTCCGTAGCAACTTGGAAGCCAGTGGCGCAGCAGTAAGTGTTTCGGCCATTTTGGGGAAAACTTCCCTTCGATTGTACACGGACAACCACTATTTCGCAGGACAACTTCGCGGCTTTTCACGCAAGGGGAGGACTAAACATGCTGGGCCTCCAGGACATGTACCTAGACACCAGTGGCGCCAACTCATCGGCCACTCTCAGTCCGCCCAGCACCCCCCTGACGCCGCTGACGCCCGACCCGTCGACTGCCGTTCAGACGACGCACTTTCCCCTTTTGGCGGATAGCGCTGCCGCTGCCAATACGCTGTTGCTCCAACGGCAGTATCACTACCACTTGCTGCTCCAGCAGCAGCAACAACAACTTGCCCTGGCGCAGCATCAGTTAGCGGTGGCGGCCTCGGCAGCGGCGGCCAGTGCAAATCACCAGCAAAAGGACGAAATTGCGCGATCCTTAAAAATCTTTGCGCAGCTGACGACGGGGCCAGCAGGTGAGAAAAGAAAGGGCCAACAACGAAATGGCGTCTTGTAAAGCAGAGCAGACTATCCCAATGAGCGAGAGCGAGATGACTATCGGTCGAAGTACAGTTAGGCCAAAGGCAGGAGCTTAGTTAAAGGGGGGTCCTAAAAAGCAGAACATTTCTATTGGACATCAAGCTCTTAGAATGTGAATATTTTGGCTTGATCAGCCTTTAACTTAAAAAAGCTATTTATTTGCACTGAATATTAGATTTAATTTTTGAAATTCCAAGTTTATTTACGCTGATAATTGTCATAATTGTTGTCATAAACTAAATTATTACAAAAATGTAATCTAATTTCTAAACTTAATCTGCTTGTTTAACTTATGAAGATAAGTATTCAACCTGTATATGTTCTTCTAACTTTTAACATTTTAGCCAACCAATGTTAAACTACTGGTAAAACAGATAAAATTAAGCTTTAGGATTTTAACCCCATAACCACTCGTACCCCCTTCAGAAATATTTTCGAACCCCTCGGTCCTTGGTTCATTGACCTTGGCAACACTTGCTCTATTCCTTCTTTCAACGATACAGAAGGCCATTTTTGCGTCTTCTCTTTTTAGTTCTGTTCATGATTCTTTGATTTTGCTTGTTCGTTCCCGTTTTTTTGCAAAAGCTAACGTGTATTTGACTGTTGATCCTTTTGAAGGCAACCAAACAAACGAATAATTTAATAAAATGTCACTGATCGATTTGGACGACGTAATGAAAAGCTTTCTATCTGCAGAAAACGCGGCTGGATCCACGCAGGATGTGATGCAGGAGTTTGCTGCCAACGGCTATGTGAGCGACGACCTCAGCCGCTTTTCCTACGGGAGCGTTACGCCGCGTTCTCAAACGCCTCCGCCGGCGCAGCAGCAACAGCAGGAAATGCACCTGCCACTGGGTCACAATCCCGTCCAGCAGCCGGCTGGAAGCACCAATTTGATGCCGGTGCCGGCTTCACTTGCCTCCCATTGGCTGCACAATTATCGCGAGCAGTTAAACAACGTGTGGCGCCACATGTCCTACATACCGGCCACTACCAGTGCAGTGTGTTTGCAGGCCCAGGCAGCGGTGAACATGGCACCCAATCTCAATGTGGGATTGCCCGTCCAGGCGGAGCAGCTACGTGGTGCTTCCAGTCCCAGCACTAACGTCATCAAGTGGAACAAGCGATACAATAACAACAGCAAGGCCAAAGAGGTGAGTAAATTTGATTTAGTTTTCGGAAGGGTTTGTCGTTTCTATATATTTTTAAGATTCATTATTTTTAGAAGTCTAGAACATGGCAGTTATTGTAAATAACAGATGGAGGGTCCCTGAAAGTGGTTAGGATTCTGATTTGTGATATTTTTAATATCTATATTTTCAGAAAGTGGTTAGTGTTTTTATTTCTGATATTTTTAATATCCATATTCTCAAACTGTAAATTTTATTTATAAGTGGATTTTCCCACAATAATATTGGAATTAAAATTTACTTAGCGAAAGAATATTCAACAGATTACTAACAATTTGAAATGGGTAAATTGTATTATTTCTAGTGTTTTTAAGTTTTGCCTAAAAGTTTCTTAAGTTTTAAAGGACTTCGTTTTTACAAACCTCTTTTTTAACGGATTTACTAATTTTATTATTAATAAGCTACACTATTATTATCTGAAGATGTTCAAGTATTCTTTGTTATTTTCATTCAAGAGAGTGCATGGATGTTAATAATGAGATATAATGCACCCACCTTTTCAGATCAGCCGCCACTGCGTCTTTTGCGAAAACAACAACGAACCGGAGGCGGTGGTCAACAGCCACACAGTACGGGACAACTTGAACAGAGTGCTGTGCCCCAAGCTGCGCACCTATGTCTGCCCCATTTGCGGGGCATCTGGGGACTCGGCGCACACCATTAAATACTGCCCCAAAAAGCCGATCATCACCATGGAGGATGCGATTAAGGCGGAGTCATTCCGCCTGGCCAAGAGCAGTTACTACAAACAACAAATGAAGGTTTAGAGAACACATCCAGCAGGAGCAGAGGCTCTGGCAGAATCTGTAGCGTTTATATAGCTAGAAATATATATACGCGTTCCGATCAAGACTGGATTTACCAGATAACTGATACAGTTAAAATAGCGCCTGGCGCGTTCGATTTTATAATGTTTCAAAAACTTATCTCGTGCCTATATTTCTAATAGTATAGTCATCGAGCGATCACTCAAATCAAACTCATTAATTCAAAAAATGTATGTCTGTTCCTGTGAAAAGGAATCCTATTTTGTAATGGAAGAATACTCACAATATCGTAAAATTTGTTCAATCGTCGTGGCCGATAGAAACATCTCACAATCCGAAAGTTAATGGAAGGAACTGGTCTGCAACTGTTCACCCTCATTTTGTCAAATGTTCGTTTGCGGCCGGAAAAATTTCAATATATCTGCAACTGATATATATCTGTACTAAATTTTGAAATAGAACACTTTGAATTTTGAACTGTCATTCGTTTCAAACATAAGTATCCAATTTAAAGCTTGCTAAATGAAAGAGCAAGGAAAACTTTCGTTAAATACGGCTTCATTTACATTTGTAAGTTTTTAAATTTTGACATACCGCAGTTTTTGATAATTTTTTAATACATGTATCTAATATACATTTAAACACATATATCTATATAAATGTTATATATTTATTTAATGGTGTTCTCAATAATTAATCTTCAATTATGTAACTACAATATTATTATATTATAATTTTTTATTTTTTTATAAAGATGTACAAAACTGAAGTTGAAAAAATTCAATGGCATAAGTGCCAAATAAAGATTTAGTTTACATTCCAAGAGTTTAATTATATTTTGAAACTAATAATAATCGTTGTCTCCATCGTTACGTTTTTCAAAGAGCGCCAGAAAAATGCCATCAGTCAGATCGCTATCCGGCAGGCAGTAGAGACAGTTCTTGCCAATGTTGGCATACTCCTTGTCGCCCACATTCTGCCACTTGTTGCGCAACGCCTTCTTGCAACTTAGCAGCTTGTAGGATGGGTTTATCTGTAGGCAGCGCTTGACCACCTGCTCATTTTCCTCCTTCCAGAGCGAACAAGTGCAGTAGGCGATACGCTTAACGTTTGGGAATGCTGTCATAGCGTGCGAAAGGATCTTAATCTGCAATCCCGCCAGCTTAAACAATCGATGGTCGTCCTTCTCATCCTCGCACACTGAAATGCGGTTCTGCATTCCGTTTCCAGAGCAACTTGGGTCCACCAGGATGTACTCTACGTCTGGACAGTCCTCGGCTTCTGCAGAAGAGATATCATTTATAATCGTACTTCCACTACATCCTTGCTTCACCAAACTCACTCATTTGCAACGCATCGCCCAGACTTGGAGTCACAATCTGGCACCCCGCCTCATCGGTGATATTACACAGCGCCCTATACCGTTCCTTAGACTGCTCCACGGCGTAGATGCGTCCCTTGTTCTGCATCACGTTGCAAAGGTGCAACGTCTTCATCCCAGGAGCGGCGCACATGTCCAGCACAGTGGCTCCGGTCGGCGGAGCGAGAAGCTCGGCGGCAAAACAGGTGGCCTTGTTCTGTAGTATCAACTTCTTGCTGCGCACCAAGTCATGGGCGGCCCAGTAGTGTCCCCACTTGGAATGAAAGATGAGCAAGCCCTCAATATGCAGATCGGTCATGAACTCATCTTCCTCCAGTGCTTTTACTGCAACCAAGAAATCCGGGTAGCTTGTGTCCGTCGGCAGCTCCTTGCGCCGCCAATCCTCGCCAGCCAGGTACTCCAGGGCCTCTGCCAGACTGAACAGGTTCGTGTTGATGCGCACATAGCGGGGATTTGGTTCTGTTTGGGTGAATAAAAAGACGAATAAAAGCAGCGTTTAAAAGTGTGTCAAAGTTAAATTTATTTTGGGCAGTAAAGAGTTACTGAACCTTTAAGGATTTTACAGATGGCTTCTTTGCTGTGCCAAAGCTATAAGAAGATTGGGAATTGGGTTGTTTTCAAGATTAGAAAGTTTTAAAATTGTCTTTTTTGGATAACTTCATCCTTAAGTGGTTTACAAGTGGAGCTTGTGGTCTATTGAGTTACTGCTCCTTCTTGGGCTCTAACGCTTCAAAGTCTTCATCCTCATCCTGCTGGACCTGCTCCAAAGGTGGTGGCGGCTTCTCGCGGAAAGCCTTTAGCACATACATGGCCACCACCAGATTTACGACCAAAACCGCTGTGAGAACAGACCAACAGTTGACCGCAAAGACGTCCAGATGGGGAAACGACTCCTGCAGCCAACTGCGCACGCCGTAGAAGCCCAAGAAGGGCAGCGTGAACATGAGGACACTGTAGGCCAGCAGCCAGAGGAAAACCTCAGTACTGGTGTCCTCCTCCTGGGGATAGTGCTCCACCGGATCAATGAGTGCCGGAGGTTCATCGATGACAGCGGCCACCGTCTCCGTCTGCTGTTTCCTGTTCTTCTTGCCCATCTTATCCCGCTAATACTGTTAGTTGATAGGGAAACCTGCCTTTCTTCTGATAACCGGATTCCCCGATGGCCTGCTGCAGTTTCTCCCGGTAACTTCGCACTGTTTGCACAGGTTTGCTATCGCCGTTCAACTGCTTCCTGCCGAAGATCAGTTCGGTGACTAAAACCTTGGCCAAGCAGCCTTCGAGATTGGGGTTATCCTTGAGTAGTCTTGTTTCCGCGATGGCGTTGTCCACGGCGCCCCGGTTTTCGCTATAAAGTTTCAGCACCACATGTAAACTGCGAGTACGCTGCAAGTGCGAGAGGAAAAAATGCTGTATTTGCCCGGTTCTTGGCGTGGAGGTCCTGCCCACTCACTGCGTGCTTCTCCTCGAATATCAGGGTCTTGATGGACGTGTTCCTTTCCAATGCCGCCTTTAGAATCTTGGCGGTAACCTTGTATTGGGTGGGAACTTTTACGGAATGGTTAAATTTACTCATTGTCGTCACGTGTGTGTGTTGTTGTAGAGCTGGGGAAACCTTACCCACATTCGATGGTATCGGCTCATCGATGCTCGGCAGGGTACTATCGATGTTTTCCCATCTCTATAAAGTAAATCAAATGGTGGATGTACGCGCAACCTGCGGAGTAAGTCCTCGCTACTTGTGGAGCAATGTTGTTCGCGCCAGTGTAACCGTGCCTCTCTTTTGGGCATTGCCAACACAATGAAATACTGCTGACAGATAATCTAAGCGCGTGTCCGTTACAATTTGAAAACTAGACTTTCAAGTTAATTTAATCGTTGTCCCAATGGTTTCCCTGCTCCCTGTGATAATAAATATAACAGCTACATTTAATTTATAAGTATTTCATTGCATTAGAATCTTAAGGCAGGGTTTTTAAAACCATTTGATGATTACATTTACATAAATATTTATCATTCGCTGTTATGAACATTTGTTATTATATTTTGAAAGAGAGATATAGATCGACAAAATCCATGAAATGCTTACTGCTTTTGCGTTCATCATAAGATTAATTAACAAATAAACGATTTAAAAGCTAAAGAGATGTTGAGAAAAAACTATATTTTTTTAACAACAATTTATATGATAGTAAAAAAAGCCTATGGGATGACTGGTATAACTCAAAACGTTTTCTCAGTTTGACATCTTCTTTTGGGTGACAATAAAGACAAGCAAATTGGTCTTAAAATGTAATATTCCTGCTGTGCCAATAAATAAGTTCTTCTCGTGTCAGTGATTTATCAACAATTTTGATTTTATAGATTCATAGATTCTTTCAATTTACATTGAAACTAGTCAGTAAACAATAATAGCAATGTAAATGAGTCGGTGAAATCGAAAGGGTCAAAGACACCCGGAAGGATCCAGTGATGGAGATGGATGTGGCTGGATGAATTTGGCCCAATTAAATTCGGTATTCCAAAAAAAAGAGCACGCCTCCCTCCCCGAATACAATCCAGCAAAAAAAATTCAGAGGCGCCGGGAACAAAAACCGGAATCCAGAGAGAGCGAGAGAGCCAGCCACACACATAAAAAACATAAACAAGCCTTTTTTCATTATGTGCGAGAGAGACATAGAGAGCGCTCTCCCATTCTCATCGGACGTTTGTTGAAAAAACGCGCTCTTCGCTGTGATTTTTTTCAGTCAGTTTTTCGACACGAACACGAACAGTTATTCTAGCTCCTCTTATTCTGCTTCTGTTTGTGTTTTTTTGTGTTTGCCGCGACGTAAACAATCGAAGAGCGGAGCTTACGCCCCTGTGCCCCACGCCCCAAACGTGCTTGTTGTAATTGCAATTAATAGCAGTCGGTGTCCGAAAAAATTTCGGGAGTTGACAAAAAAAGGGCAAAAAAAGCACAAGTGCAGAAAAAACAGAAACTTGCGAGCGCGTGTGTGTGCTGGTGTACGTTGGTGTGAGTGTGTATATTTTTGGCGTGCGCGGCCATTTTTTCTTGTTGCCACTCAAGAGTCTCTTCTGTGTGCGAAAGAGAGGCCCGACCGCAAAGAAGAACGTAAAACTACGCAAATCCAAATCCCCACTAAATTCGCTAATTTGCGCAAAATAAATCAATCGCAGGGGGCGCCGAAAACAAACAAACGTACGAAAATAAAGCGCCACAAACAATTGTGAGTGTGTGTTTGTGCGAAAGAGGTGAGCACACCTACACCCATCCACCCACAAATCAGTCGGCGAACACGTGCTCCAAAATATCAACAAAAGTTGGCCCACAAATAAGGGCAACAACTGCATCGGTCAAACACGCCGGTACACAAAAGGTACTTTTAAATTGGTTAGTACTTTACGATGCTCGTGCATGTTTTATTTATTTGCCTTATTGGACAAACACACTTGACGATTGAGTGTGTTTGTTTCTGTTCCCGCGCTGAATGTACAGTGGGAAATGCCGTCATTATTCCAGAACTGAAAGAAAATCACCCTATTAAAAAGCTAAACTTAAAGAAATATTGACTCATACAAGTTTTAAATATATATAAATACAAATGTTATGATATTATAATGAATGAATTTTGGAAACCGATTATATAAATGAAGCTTCAGTGTTCTTGCTGAAGCTGGCAAACCACAAAATGTTCGAAGTGTTTTATTTAATCGATTTTTAAATTAACTAAGCAGAAGAGATTAATTTTACAAATGATAAAACAATTACAAGTAGCCTGCATCACTATTTAAATGCACAATTTTAACATATTTAATTCCCAGGACAGTTTTATTGAGAGTTAACTTGTTGCTGTTAATGTTCTAAAACTCGAACATTAACAGCAACAAATATCCGATTTGTTAAAAATTTAAACTACACAAAATTGCTCCATTTTATTTTTATTTAATGCAAAACTAAAAATCAGTTCATTAGTCATTACAATTTGAATAATGGTCTCCCCACTGTTAACTTGCTGAAATATGTAGGCCTATTTCCGTATTTTTTCTTTGCAGAAATCGTGTTCGTATGTAAAGCAATTTTTTTTGTAGCCAAATGTTACTGTCAACAAATAATTAAGCTTGAACAATTTTTAAATCATTTTTGCAAACGTGCTCCATTATTTGACCATCCGTTTTGTCGCTTGTTTGACTTTTAATGTTCGTTCCCATTCATTCGGTGGCGGTTTTTTTTTGTATGTTTGTGTGTCGTCGTGTCTTTTTTATCTTCCACTTTTTTTTTGTATTCATCAAATATTCGCTGCTTTTTTTGCACACATGTCGCCCCCAACCAAAAAGAGAGAAAGAGAGCGGTCCGAATTGCGGTTATTGCGTTGTTGTTGTTGTTGTTGACCGCCCGCTCGTTTGTTTATGTTGAGCTCTGGCTCGCTCTCCTGCTCTCTTTTGTTTTCAGCTGCTTGCGCTCAATTAATTTTCGTTGATTCGTTTTTTGTGTGTAGTGTAGGTTTTTTGTGTATACCATTTTATTTATATGCTTTTTGGGCTTCTCTTTTCTTTTTTGGTTTTTGGGGTTTTTTTTGGGGCCTGCCCGATTGCGTTTATTTATTCCCCATTTGCATTTATCATGTTGATTGGCCGATTTTCCGTGTTTCTAGATCTGTAGTTACACGATTCCGGCTTCTGTTTTGTTGGTCGCCACTTTCGCTTATTTTTTGTTGCAATTGTTTGAGCGGCAAACAATTGTTTGTTTGTCACCCCGTGTCGCTCTAAATGTGCGCAACAAGCGAATGGCGCGTCCTTTTTGCATTACATTACCCGCCCCCTCCCCTTAACATGTCCACGGAATTCCTGCTTCCATGCTGTTCAATTGTCCAACGTCAGCATTAACAACAACAAAAAAAAACCGGTTATTTTGACCAAGCTGAAAAAAAACAAAATCCAAAAAATTTAATTTACCTCTGACGTCAACACCCACCCGACCAAAAGGTCGTAATCAAATTCGCGCGCAAACTTTTACACAAATGTCCAAATATTTATTTTTTGAATTAAAGAAAACTGTTTTATTCGTACGCTACTTACTTTCCCTCCGAAATCGATCTATCTATATTAGTACTAGAATTATTCTTCATATATTTTTCTGCGTTATCAAAAAAAACATAATATTCTAAAGATTTTTTATGTTTATTTTAAAGAAATACGAAGAAACTATAGAATAAATTGTTATAAAACGATTATATTCTTATTTCTTAAAAGTTTTAAAGCATCTTAGTTTTCAAAAAAAAAAGTTCTAAAAAATAAATTCTGCCTAATGCTTACAAAATATAATTTTTCTTTATTTATTTTTTAAACATACCTTAAACGTCAATATGTTCCACACATCAAAGTTGACTATTAAAAATGTATACAACTGATAATCCTTAAACCCAATTTCATGAAAGGGAACGCTTGTCAATTTTATTTTTTTTGCTTGTGGAGGGGATTAGATTAGCGTTAATTGTATTTTGAAGATCAAATTTCATAAAAGCTTGTGTGCTTTAAATGGATGTATGTAGAATATGCACTTTAATGCAGGAGATAATGCACAAATTAAAATTTGAAATAAAAATTTAAAATTTTTTATTTTTATCAAAATGTTTAGTCATAATGCTTCTAATAAAACTGAGTAACGTTTTTTAATTCGTTTTGGCTTTATCTCAACTAATCCTTTTGCTTTCTGTTCCTCGTTGAAACAACGGCAAACAATTTTGAAAAATAAATTGATAAAATTAAAGAAAAATTTAACAAATGATTTATCAGAATGAGTATATCAACTCGGTGCCTGTTACGAAATTATGAAACTATATTTGCAAATAGTTTGCAATGACAATCAAAAATTTAATGGAATTTTATCAAATTTCTCGAAAATCTTAAATGGACTGAAATACTGGCTTTCAATTAACACAGTGTACTCTTGTTTTAAAATTGTATTTCACTTTAAGAAGTGTTAAAGTTAAAAGATCAAGTGATCTTTGGGCCAATCATATCACCACCATATTAAAGTTTACACCCCTGGAACATCATTGGTCCATCGGAAACTGAGCTGCACCTCCCCGAAAAGTGCGGTAGATGTAGTTGCATTTAGTTCTCGAGGTTGTTGACACGTTTCGTTGGCGCCCCTGACTTTTTTGCCAGTCCATCACCACCCATCACCCCCTTCCAGAGTAACCCCCATTTCGGTTCTTTAGGCCGAAAGCGATTCCATTTCGCTTTCCATCTTGTTGTCACCAACAATTTCTGGCCGCAAGCGCCTTTTTTGTTTATCTTGTGATTTTTTCCGTTGACTAACTCTTTTTTGCTCGGCATTGTTATTAATTCTTTTCCGTTTTTGCGCTACACTGGCAGCTTTTTTACTGGGTTGCAGTTACGGTATCTTCGGCTCTTTTGGACTTTTGTTCCAATGCACAGCACGTTTAATTCACAAACAATTAATTAATTCATGCACATTTATGTTAATGTGCAGAAATTAATGTATCCAATGCGGGGAGTAGAGAGGCAAAGCGGAATCGAAAAGTAGTTTAAGCACTTGTGCCGACTAGGCACAATTTTGTGGATTCAAGAATTACAATATTTCTGTACTTTCAGCACAAAAACGCGCCGAGTTGTGTAAGTCCGCCAGTGGAGTGTCGACTTCCCGACGACGAAGACCATCGCTTCATTCCCAATCGCACCGGATAGTCTCAGCTCGCTGACCACACCCCCAAGCTGGACGCTCGCACCATTGCCTACCGCCCGCTGACCCTTGGCGGCCATCAGACGCCGCTTATGGCCGAACTGCCGACGGCGCCGAACGGCGTCCCCAGCGGCGATTATCTGCATCGCTCCATCGATCAGCTGCGTTCACTGGGCCACCTGACCACGGCCCAATTGGTACACGACTACAAGCCTTTCAACATCAGCGAATTCCGCCAGAATGTCGCGGAACGGCTGGACTACTCGCTAAAGAACGGCCTGGTGCAGCACCAGCAGCAAATGGTCATGGAGCAGCAGCCACATCCCGATCCCCAGCAGCAGCAGCAGCATCTTCACCACCCGCAGCAGCAGCAGCACCAGCACCCGCCGCAGCTGAAGGTCAGCTACAGTGCGCCCAACTCGCCGCCCACGCCCCACGAGCAGCAGGAACAGAAGGTAAGCCCAAATCATAGGGTTTGATTATTGTATTTCCTTCGTGTTCAGCGGAATATAAAATAATGGGAGAATCTCACGAAGAATTTAAGAATTACATTTTTTTAAAATAATTAATCAAATTTAAATCAGTAATAGTAATACAAAATATTTATTTGCTTTAAAGTATAATTGATTTCGTCCTATCGTACCTAATACATATTTCTATAATTTTATGGACATTTTTGGCTGAAAAATGTATATTAGTAACATCCTAAAAAAAAAATGTAATAAAGCAGATATGAATACCGATTATTAAATATTTTTCTATTCAAATAAAATGTGTTGAATCAATTCGATCAGAAGATTAGCAAACAACTTTTTTTTTTGCAGTAGTAATACGCTTAAACGAATCTAACCCCTTACCTATTTCTTTGCAGTATGATCCGAGTCGATCGCCGCCGCGTCAGCAGATGAGCAGCGCAAGTGGGAGCGGCAGCAACGGATCCTCGCCGGAGGAGGAGGGTCGCCGGGGCGATGGCGACCAGGCGAAGCCATACAAGTGCGCCTCGTGTAGCAAGTCCTTCGCCAACTCATCGTACCTGTCGCAACACACTCGGATCCACCTCGGGATAAAACCGTACCGCTGCGAGATCTGCCAGCGCAAGTTCACCCAGCTGTCCCATCTGCAACAGCACATCCGTACGCACACGGGGGACAAACCGTACAAGTGCCGGCACGCCGGGTGCCCAAAGGCCTTCTCGCAGCTCTCAAACCTGCAGTCGCATTCGCGTTGCCATCAAACCGACAAGCCGTTCAAGTGCAACTCCTGCTACAAGTGCTTTGGGGACGAGATGACCCTGCTGGAGCACATTCCCAAGCACAAGGACTCCAAGCACCTAAAGACGCACATATGCAGTTTGTGTGGCAAGTCGTACACGCAGGAGACCTACCTGCAAAAACATCTGCAGAAGCACGCCGAGAAGGCGGAGAAGCAGCAACACCGGCACACGGCCCAGGTGGCTGCCCACCAGCAACACGTGCCGGCGAGCGGGATCGGCCTGAATCTGCAGCGCCAGGCCATGAACGATGTGAATGCCGCCTACTGGGCCAAGATGGGGGCGGACAGTGCGGCGGCCTCGCTGGCGGAGGCCATTCAGCAGCAGTTGCCGCAGACCGGGGGTCAGCCGTACGGCAACTTTGCCTCCCTACAGCAACAACATCAGCAACAGCAACAAGAGCTTCTACAGCAGCATCATCAGCGATTGGCGGACACACCGGGACACTCGCACAGTCCACATGAGGAGACCGCTGGCGAGGATCTTGTCCTGCGCCAGTCCACTCCTCAACATCACCTCCAACAGCAAGCGCAGCACCAACAACAGCCGCAGCACCAGCCATCGCCTGGACCCGGATCCTCCGCCTTTACTCCACTGACAGCCACAGTGGCTCCACCAGTTCCGCCACATCTCCAACAGCATCGCGGACCGCCGGCGGCCACCGCTGCCTATCTGTATCAGCAGAACGCGGCGGCTGCAGCGGCTGCTTTTCCCACGCAGCTCATCTCGCTGCACCAGATACGAAACTACGCCCACCAGCCAGGAGCGGCGGGCATCATCGCTGGCGATCACCTCACACTGGGCCTGAGTGCTGTGAGTGCCGCCAAGGAAAAGGCGCAATAGTACAGGCCAGGTCGGGGCCAAAAGAGGCAGCAACGATGACATTAGCTTAAGGTCTCCGTTTAAACTGGCTTGGATTCTCGGAAGAGGCTTAGTAAATCATAAAAACATTAATTCGAAATGTTTCTAAGTTGTATCTGCGAATCCATACCACTTGAAACAATAGAAGTAAAATTAAGTTAGCTAGGACCAAGTTGGCAGTGGCGTAGGAGCTGGGATTGTAACTGGTTTCCCAGTAAAATCCTTCCAAACAAGAGTTAAACCTAAATCACCTAAGAATTGTATAAGATCCAGCCAAAATCAACTCCATCACTGCCTATACCAACAAGGAAACCAACTACAGTCCTTTCATTTCACTCGCTCCTTTCAACCTCAACTTGAAGAATAATTTATCTAGGTCAACTCAGGATTTTCTATACGATATTAATGCCCCTCGTTTAAATATCTATAAGCAATATTATTTTTAAAACTCTGAACTAATTGAATTAGTCGATTTTGAATAGCTCACAGTTTTAATATCTGCTAGGAGCCGTACAAAGTACGGCGATAGACCTATAATATATTTTATAGTGTACATAGATGTATGTAATTATGTGCTGTACATTTAGACGTATCAACCTAGCTCTAATACCCTAGATACTTTATAATTTATCAACTAACTAATAGAGTAAGGATATTTTCTACTTGTTAGGCAAGCCCAAATTAGAAAGCGATTTGAAAATGTAAAATTCAACCAATAAAGTTTGAAATTATTTATAAACTAACTATTTCGTTGTTTTAAACCTTCCACAATATTTGCATTTTTATTAGCGAATTGAAGCGAATCGAATATACGCAACGATCCAGAAAGACGCAGCATAATCCGCTTAACAGCCTCAAGAAGAACTTCTTTGTGCCCGAGGCGACATAAGAGATTTATGTTCACCCCATATAATCTGAGTATCCACAGGGAAATGTAGGGCTACGATCGTATCGAAGTTTATCTTTAATTTCTCTCACTCGCAGCTGCCGTTTGGCCTAAGACGTGACAGTGGCGTAGTTCGAGGATTGATTGAGGGGGTAAACCTCACTAAAAAGTGGTCGTCAGATGCTTCCCTCAATTCGAAATGGATGGCTACTCTCTGATGGCGAATAATGATTGATGATTGAGTCTTGAAATTTTCGGTTGATCGACACGGAGATTAATTGGAATGATTCATTTAAGTTGATTCGCATTGAGTTCTTTTCAACATGCTTTGCATATACGGGTATTTTATACCTGGTATAAAACTAGTTCATCCATCGCCGCTTAAATTCGAGTCTTCTTCAGTCGTCACGATTTGTAACTTCAAATCGGCAAAGTACTTAAGAAAGAGTAAGGTAAATCTTCTTGGATACCTTAAATATAGAAGGTGATGATCTTATGGAGATCTAAAAACCTTTGACGGATTAGTAAACCGATATTTCAGTATTGCAGACAAAGGAACTTCAAAGTTTCATTCAGTCTATGAAAACATCTGAAGAGTATACATATATAAAAGTAACAAACAAAAACGAATTTCATAGCTAATTAATAAAACAATAAATTTTAAAATCCCACACAAAACCAGTTTAAGTTGTTAACAGGTGCTTTTTTTCATTATTATATTTTCTCTCTTTATTTATTTATGTTTATTTTTTCGCCTCCGTCTTTGTTGAGCGCAGCGTTTGAATGGAATTATAAATAGCAGCAAATTGTGTTAAATACACAAAAAAGTTAAATGGTTTTTATGATCTTTTTATGCCGCAAATAAAAACGAAATAAAATCTCCTAAATAGCTCATAAAAATTGGCCAGACAAAGGGGATTGTTAGTAGTAAATAGACACCCACAAATAGGGAGACAACAATGGAGTTGATAGAGATATAAACCCCCTAAAAGGATTTTGGGCAATTGTCTTTTTGTCAACAAAGATCGGTGTCTTCGAAAAGGATTGTGCGAATATTCGGCACGATCCTTTGGCGAAAAAGGAAAAGGAGGCCCTTGAGGGAAGTACAAGGATCGTTGACAATAAACCAACAAATCATCAAAGCAGAATTGGCAAACACACCGCAGAGGACAAAGACCCGGGATAAAGGGATTGCCGATCGATAATCGATCATTTGGCAGTTGTGCAAAATGCAAAACAAAGGCCACAATGCAAAAACAAGAGAGAACGCTATAGTCGGGTGCCCCGACTATCAGATACCCGTTACTCAGGTAAAGGGAGTGCGAGGGAGATGGAGATAGAAACTTTGATCACGCATAACTTTTTAACGAATGGTCCGATTTGAAAAATTTCTTCTACATTTCGATAGGTATTGATAAACTCAATAAAACTGCATTTTTACTTTTCCGAAATATTTAAATTTTTAAAATATAAGCGATTGTGGGCGTCAGAGGGGGCGTGGCACCATTTTGAAACAAACTTGCGCTGCGTAGGAACTGCTCAAATCTACATGCAAAATGCCAATCTTCTAGCTTTTATAGTTTCCGAGATCTCAGCGTTCATACGGACAGACAGACAGACAGACGGACAGACAGACGGACAGACGGACAGACGGACAGACGGACATGGCTATATCGACTCGGCTAGTGACCCTGATCAAGAATATATATACTTTATAGGGTCGGAAACGCTTCCTTCTAGCTGTTACATACTTTTGCACGAATACAATATACCCTTTTACTCTACGAGTAACGGGTATAATGAGCCGAAAGGGGAAACTTTTTAGCACATCGAACCCTTCGCTTTGAGGGCCCTACAAGCCAATGTTTGCCAATAATTTAATTGATAAATGATTTGATTTCTGCCAGCGATCGTCATCGATCATAGAAGCATTCAGACATTGAAGTTTCACAATTCGAGCCCTGTCTTCTCGCGATTAGCATATCAATGCGCATTATTATAGATGCACTAATGATCATGGGATTGTTTGGTGGTTATTGTCCCGCTACCCGATCTTTGGGGTGGCTGGTCTCCTCCTTTTCTTTGGGCCTGTCTTGTCTCTGGGTGCTGAAATCATCACGATTCCGTCCGTTGTGCGTCTCATCAGGCTTTGTTATGCTAACTATGAGAAAAAATGCGGCCTAGGATCTACTCTGCCCTGGCAGGGTCCTTGGGCCTGGGACTGTCACTTTTACTTGCAGCTTGATCGATATGATAATTAGAATGCAGTGCCCAAGGCCATCAAGGACTCTTCCTTGAGAGTGGCATCTGTCGGATGTATACGTGAGTTCGTCTGTCAGGTCATTGAAAAAAATAAGAATACTTGGCAGGATCAGGGTCACGGTTTTTTCCGTCTTTGTATCATATCTCTTCATTCATTAATTATATATTTTAATATAGAATAGCTTTAGCGACCATACTTTCATAAGCCGTAATGAATTATAAATACCTTTAAAACTATTCAGTGATTAATATAAAAATTATAAAAAAATATATTTATTTATTTGTCATAGACGTGTTTGGTATCTTAACATTTTTACTAATTTTGTTGCCTCTCAAAAGCTGTTGAAGTATTTGATCGCTCTGCAGAACTTCGCACCATTCAACTTTTTCTAATAAATTAAATGAGATTTCTGTACGATCTTAATTTAATAAAACCAGCTAAAAAATTAAATATTTAATGTATTAATTCTAAAAACTCAAAACGTTTTTTTTTTATTTGCCATAATACATAGCTTCCATTTTCGTTTTTAGTAAAATTCATTTTTCAGTTTTGGGGAAGGGGCATTATGCAAACGATTTTCATTTGAATATTGTCTATGCGTTTTTCAATGCCAAGAGATCATTTCGGTGCTGCAGAAAGGCGTCATCAAAGGCATCAATAGATTTATGGTTTCTAAACTCCAGACCCGAAATCAAAACACACACGCACGCATTTGGGGAGGGGGAGATAGGATCCGACCATCAGGGGTTGCACACAAAACATCCGGATCTCCGAAAGAAAAAACCTTTCACCCCAGATAAGGGACTCTTCTTAGCATAAGAAAGGACTCGCACAGGGATCCTTTCTCTCTCGTAACCCGTTCGCGAATGGCATTTAGTCGGTTCGGCATTCAGCAATTCTTTTGGATAAACTATTTATGAAATTATTAGACAATGCACACAATATGCGGATACACTCCACCGATTAGCCCGGGGCTCGAACAGATCGAAGGAGAATGGAAGGTGTGTATGTTTTTCCCATAACTTCTTGTTCCTGTGGCATTTGCATCTCAGCCTTTTCTTTTTCTGCTCCTCGCCAAATTTCGCTTTGTGAACCGCGGTATTGTTCGATTCTAATAAGGTGCGATATTGTGAAATTTGATGCGATTTTCGTTAGCTATTCTTATATCCATATTTGCACCCTTTGGCTAAATGGATTCGCACACTGGATGTAGAGGGCACACTCTGCGCTATTGTTGAGGTTTCTAGAATCTTATTTGGCTTGATTTCTCTTTATCATTTCGATTGTTATGAAATTGATACTTCAGTGAATATTGGCATATTGCAAAAAAAAGGTTTGAGGCATTTTATTTAAACGTTTCTATTGCGGATTTTTTGTAATAATGAGGATTCAGCTGCTTAAGTGTCTAACATATATTTTCATTTATTTATTCAATGCAGAATAACAGAAATCCGACCTCTGTTGATACTTTATATGTTATTTCCTTTGCATTACTCTCAAAAAACTAGTTTGAAAACTCTCCAAAAACTAGGAAATCAAATTATTATGTGAGACTAACAGATGTTGGATGAAGGATGAACATTTTCACGGATTGTGATTCCTTGATTGCCTTGGTAATAAATTAGAATAACTAAAGGTGTGGGAAATGTCTTTCTTTAAGTAGTGAAAGCAATGTGAGTCAGAAAAATTGTTTAAGCGTAGGAACGCCTGATTTCATTTTAGTTTTAAGAGTTTTAGGCACGTCAGTTTAGTGTTATTATAACGTCACACTCTTACTACAACCGACAAACATATTTGTATACCCTTGCAGAGGGTATTATAATTTTGGTCAAAAGTGTGCAACGCAGTGAAGGAGACATCTCCGACCCTATAAAGTATATATATTCTTGATCAGGATCACCTCCTGAGTTGATATAGCCATGTCCGTCTGTCCGTCTGTCTGTTTCTACGCAAACTAGTCTCTCAGTTTTAAAGATATCGAACTGAAACTTTGCACACACTCTTCGTTCCTTTGCACGCAGTATATATGTCGGAACGGGATCGGCCGACTATATCCTATAGCTGCCATATAACTGATTGATCGGAAATGCCATAACTTTGGTGTTTGTAAAGTTAGGAAGCTGGGATTTCCTATGGGTTTTATTTTTGGCCAATCAATCCGACCTATCAAATTTTAATAAGGATCGGCCGACTATATCCTATAGCTGCCATTTAACTGAACGATTGGAAATGCAATAACTTTGGTGTTTTTAAAGTTAGGAAGTTGGGATTTTTTATGAGTATTAAGAATGCATCATATGAATAATTTTGGAGAATATAATGTACATAATATTCTGCAAGGGTATATCAACTTCGGCTCCGCCCGAAGTTAGCTTTTCTTTCTTGTTTATACATATTTTTTATAACTCAATTCAAAAGTGTGGTTTCCAGGACTATTTTTTTTAGAATGGACTTATTAAACACTTAACAATGTTTACAATTACTCAACCAAACCCCAGATTTTTTTTCCTTCAATCGGTTACAATTTACAACTTCAATCCTTGACAGCCAACACGTGTTTAAAATGGTAAAAAAAATTGTATTCAAAAGACAAAAAATGAAAATTAACTGCGTAATTGAAAGTCGTGATATTGGAAACTGGATTTTACCCTGAAATGGCGCAATAACAAAAATTTAATTAACATTTTCGCACCGCTTTTTGTCAAAGGAAAAAAAACAGCTTGAAAAAAGTACCAAAAAAAGGATAAAAAACTACAGTAACAAGACTTCAGTTGACGATCCTTTTTATCCAAATGAAGAAAAAAACTTGTCACACAGGGTTTCAATATTTAAAATGGGAAAGAAAAAAACGCGGCAAAAAGCTGAACTGGGTCCAATTATAAACGACTTTTTTCGGTAGTCAAGCATAAAAAATTAGGGAATCAGAAAAAAATGGGTTAAAAAACTGCTGAGCCCAACAATAAGGGCTGGAAGGATGAGTATGCATCCTGATGATTTTTTTCTTCCCGGCGTTTTGGGTGCGGGCACAAAAAATCACCCAAAAAAGTATGCAACGGGCGGCATTTGGTTACCTAATTTGAATATATGGCGCTGGAAATTTTCTCACGATTTTTTTGTTCTCCCTGCCAGGCTACCCACAAGGCTCAAGACAAACTGGGCTCAGGGTGACGATCAAGGATAAAGGACTCGCACAAAGACGCAGACGGCAGAAGACAAGGAGTAAAAAAAATCCGGATTTTTTTGCCTCATTTCCATGCGGAAGCGTTTCCTTGCCGAACCACCAAGGGTTAGAGGACAAAAGGACGAAAGGATGCCTTAATTTATGCACAACACGTCCGCGGATCGGACGCCAGCAGTTGTCCTCAAAGGGTTGAATCTCTGATCCTGGCCCGGGACATCGCCCCGCATTTGCATACGTGATCAAGGAAAAGGGTGTGTCGCAGGACAGGGTCAAACATCATTTTTCATTTATCCTCCGTAAAAAAACGAGCTAGAAACTAAAAAAAACGATGTTCTTTCAAATAGAAAAATACGCAAATTATTTAAATTTCATTTTTTTCGTGCACTTTTATTAATACCTGGACCCTGGTGTCCTACGTGTCTTAAATCGTCAGCATCCTTAAGAACCTGGGTCACTTTTCTATGCAAATGGAGGGCTTAGGGATAGGAAACCACCCTAAGATCCGGACATCCATCGTAGCACATCTTTTTGATCTGGCTGCTTTTCTTTCGCATCTGTGGTCCTCCGGTTATTTGTTTATCTATTTTGCATACTCCGGCTTTGTATCCGCCCATTCGTACCGCCTTGGGCAAAATTCTAAATCAATATTTGCTCATTAGTCACATTCAATAATTTTAATTATTATAATTTGCATCCGCTTTCAATGGCGAATAGAATACTGATCAAGCAGCTGTATAAACTTCAAAGGGTTCAGGAAAATAATGATCTAAATAAATAAATATGATTTTTTAAAGATGATTTACAAATACTATTAGAAATCTTATAAATTCGTACTTCAGTCACAAATATTTGCCTTCATTTCAATAATATATATTTTTTAATCATTTAATTCGGCAACTTTGTTACCTTTTGCGCAATAATTAAATAACAGTCTGATGCAAGATAAAAATGTTTTCAAAATCAGTTTAAGATTCAATGCGGTTGCCTTATACATCAACTTTAAACGAAATTAGCTAATCCGCCAAATATTCCAAGCTCATCGCAGAAAATTAATCAAATTATACCCTATCAGGAGATAAGCAAAATAATATCCATCAAATTCTTTGAGATGTATACAAAGCGAAAATTATGCAAAATTTATTCAGACGTTGAAACAAAAATTTTGCAAAACCCAAGCTACTTTTTTTATTGGTTAAAAATGAGCTTTGTCTTGCGTGAAATTAATTAAGTTACTTAATTACAGGTACAAGACGGTCAAAGATCGACTCCCCCTTCACCTTTCCCATTTCCTCTTCATCTGCAAACAGGTTGACTTGTGCCAAAATTCACTTTTCGAAAGCTTCAGCTGTGTCCATTAGTGGGAGTTGTGTATGGAGATCACATTCGGTATCCGCCAGTGTTCATACCTTAGAAAATGTAACTATAGTTTAAATAATTTAAATTCTACAATCCCAAAGATTCAACGTCATAGGGTATCAAACAATCCATAATAGCACACTTTTTGGCAAGATAAATTTGCGTTAGAAGAGACATAATGATTGATCGTGTGCCAATTGTAGAAGGACAAAAAGCCGAAACGGTCGAAACGTTTTTTGGGGAGACCATTAAGAAATGTTATTTATTTTTGCTGCCTTTGTTCACTGCCAAATAAATTTAATTTTTATTTACGTTCTTTACTTGTTGTTGCTGTGGGTACGCAATTTAAGTGAAGATTCGGTTTCTAGTCAAACCGGTTCGCAGAGGATAGCTTTTTTTCTTTGGAATTTGTAATTATTTTTACTGATAAATTCTAGTTATGATTTGGGCAGCGGGGTAAAACGATAAGAAATATTTTAATTTAATGTTTTTTCAGGAATACTAAATATTTAAAACCATAAAATTTTTGCCACGATTAAAAAACCTTGTAGTTCTTATTTGTATGCTCTTTTCATTATTTATGAAATTTATATTTATTAATATGAATTAAATCCAATAGCAGCTTTTTCTTTTAATTTGATAAGTTTAAAGGAAATCGCCTACAATTTGGTCTATTTACGAAAGAATATTTTTAAAAATCGTATACTATTAAGATCTTAAATATTATTTTACAAATTATAATTAATAAATAAATTTTCTTTTATTTGGAGGTCTTTAAATAATGTTATCCTCTCAAAATGTACCAGTCTTAAACTAATAAATTATATGTTGTATTTTACCAGTCACTTGTTTTATTATGCAAATTTTTAAAAATTGTATTTATTTCAATATAGAAAACTTTAAAATTCAAAAGCAGTGAGAAACAGCAAGCTTTTAGATATTTCAGTAAAGAAACTGAAAAAGAAAAACAATTCATTTCTTGTTGAAACCAAAATATTAAGTTCAAACAATTATATATTATCCTCAGAAGAGAATAGTAAAATCTTGTATGATGTTGGCCGCCTGTCCCGATGAACTGCCCAATCCGCACAAGAACTGCCTGCACGAGATGCTGCAGGCGCTGATCTGCAACGACAATGATGTGAAGCGCTTGAACACGGAGCTGCGCAACATGAAACTAGAGTTGCAGGCGGAGGTAGACAGGATCAACAAGGCGAATATCAAGTGTGGCCATGAGAGAAAGGGCAAGGTGGTGTGCGAGAGCATCGAGGACTTGACCAAGTTCGCCCAGCGGATCAACAGTCTGGACGAGGTGAAAAGCCATTTCACCCAGCGAAGTGAGGAGATCCGGAAGCGGCGCGACAACGTCATTGTCTATGCGCGCCAGTGCCTCTACGCCTACAACGAAGAGAAGTGCAAGTTCAAATCCTTCCATGAGAACACAGTGGACTACATAAAGCGCACAGCGACCCTTTTCCAGGATGCAGAGGTCATCAAGGGCTGCGAGAAGGATGTGTGCGACTTGCACAAGCGATTTGTGCGAGAGGTGGCCAAGTTGAAGAGTTGCGAGGCGGAACTTCTGCCTTTCTTCAAACTGTTGAAGGAATCCGACCCGAAGGCCTACTGTGAATGTTGCTGCTTCAAGGGATACGATTGGCTCCCGAGGGGTAAGAACCTAGAGGCAGTGGACTCTATGGCCGGCGAAATTAAGGAGCAGATGGGCGATGTCTTGGTGCGAGCCTTCGCCCAGCTACACATTCATTCGCCACAGGACCCGCGTGCCTTCATTGCTGCCTATCTAATGAACCTTGATCGCAACGAGCAGGATATGAAGGAGAAGCTTAACATCTTCCAGGCAGATCCGGACGTGGAGCTTCAGGAGCTGTCTGACCCCACATTCCACTGCGAGGATGAGTGTCCTCGCCCTGAATAATGCCACAAATCGATCTATTTTAGTTATCCTGACAACGAATCCACTTAGAGCAGTTTATCCATTGGTTCACTTTGGTTTAACATTTAAATAGTATTAAACGTACGCCAAAATTGCAAAATTTAAAAATAACAATACAGATTTCTTGACAAACTTTTAATTAATTCGAAATAAAAACGCAATATATTTCAGAAATATGTTTTTCAATTAGCTTAAAGTAAAAGTACGTGTACACTAGGTATATTATATCCTTGGGTTTTTGCTTCACAAAGGAAATCACATATAGAGCCGTTATTAATCTTATATATTCGGTTTGCAGATCGGGTAACAATGCAGCTCGAATCAAAATACATTTATGTGTAAATGGTGTGTGATAGGTAGGATTTACTTATTGCGACGATTGCCGCGCCTTGAATTTGGATCCGGCTCCTTTTCTCCGATGCCAGTGATGGAGGCGCCAGCCAACTCGGAGTTGGCCATCTTCTGCTGGTTGTCCAGGAAGAACATTACGTCGCGAAGCTGTTCCTTTAGATCGGTAACCTCGGCGTCATGATTGTGTTTGAACTCGTTGTACTGCTGCTCCAAGATCTTGTATTTGCCGTGCCAGGAGCTCTGGTTGGTCTGTAGGGCCTTGGACAGCTCCCGTTCCTCGTTCAGTTGCTTTTGCACCTCCTTGAGCCTGAAAAACCAATTATTATATGAAATCTTTAAGAACGGCGAAGCGGATTTAGTATTTACTTCGTTGTATGTTGGGTCAGCTTGCGCTCCAGATTGACCTTCTCCTTCTGCATGGTCTGTTGGAGATGCTGAAGCTCGGAGACTTCTGTCTTGGCCTCGTTGGCGTTCGACTTGAAGGTCTGCCACTCTTGCTCAAGCCTCTCCATTCGCTCCTCGTAGTATTTTCGTTGTGTGTCCAGCTGCGAAGTTAGTAAGTAAGTAAACTCCATCTGCATTGAGTCAATCTTCTCCTCGCGCTCGTCTTTCTCAGTTTGGGAGGCCACCAGCTTCCCGTCGGACTTGTTCTGAAACAAGCGGTGTACGAAGTTGTCGCCGGCGTAGTCCCAAACGCTTGAAGTGCCCAGTTGCATGGCGAAGGTGTGGTTAGTGGCCCGGTAGTGGGCGGCAGCATGTCCTCCCTGATAGCGGCCGCAGCCGACATGTCCGCAAATCAGGCAAATCCACAGCGAATCGGTGCCCTCACACTCCATGCACACGGAATCCTCGACGAGCTCGGGGGTCTGGACGTGGCGGCACACAGGGCAAGTGGAATCGCCCCACTTCATCAAGCAGCTGGCATGAAAGGCGTGGTTACACAAGATGGTCAGCACTCCGTCCACGCTTTCGTCCATGCGCTCCAGGCACACTGGACAGGTGGGCAGCTCAGTGTGTCCCATTGGCGGTGCTCCATGTTCGCTCCTCTCCACCGCCGAGACCCAGACCGCGTGGCACAGCGAGTCCGGTTCCAGGGAGTTGTAAGCAATCCCATTGTAAGACTTGTAGAACTCAAGAGCTGATTCATTAGAACGGAATCTGAAAGGGAAGGAAAATATTTATTTTAATAAAGGACAATTAGATATTTGTGATTATTATTTATGTAAGCTATGTAAGCTCACAAATGGTAGTTTAAATATGGCATTAACTTTTGGACCTTCTATAAGTGAGTTTTTGAAGTTAAACATCAAAAGTGTCAATGAAATTATTAATGCTAAAATATTTTCACATAGCTCAGGAGTGGACTTGGTTTCTCTTGAATTTAACTTACTCCAGCAGCACCATGAATTGATTGGGACTGCCGTCGCGGACAATCTGGACGTGTTTGATCTCTGCATGGCAGGGAGCGATAAAGTTCAGCAGATCGTGGCAGTTAAGAGTGGCTGGCACAGCCAGCAGGCAGAGCTGGTTGGATGGAGCCTCCTTGATGGCTTTTCGTTCGCTATTGGATACAGAAACGACTTAGTAATGTGAACACAATAAAAATAAATTACAAGCAAACTTACTTTTTCTTGTAGAGATGGATAAGGCCCTTGGTCACTTCGACGATGGGATTGCCGGAGAAGTAACCGATCTCATGGGGGAACTTGGAGGAGGTGACCTGTGGACCGCCCGTCTGGGTTTCATCGCCGTTACGAGGAGTGGTTTCCCGGGAACTGCCCGCCGTGGGACTGTTCACGTGCTGCAGGGCCGCCGCCCAGTTCATCTTGCTGCCCTCCGTCTCCTGATCCTTCGGAGCACTAAATTCCCGCGTCCAACGCTGGTTGATGTAGGTTTCGATGGTGATATCGCGGGCCAAGCGCAGTCCGCGATCGCGTTCCCGCTCCTTAAGAACACGAGGATTGGTGGGATGTTCGGCGGACACGGCTCCCTCGGAATCTAATATAAATAAATAAATAATTCTTGTGAAATCCACTCTCTTTGTCTGCTGCAGTCGCAGTTCCTAAAATTACCTGCGCTGGGCTCCAAGTCCGTTTCGATCTTGATCACACACAACGAAATGTTTTCTAGCATTACACAGGCATAATTTAGTTAAATTTTTATGCCGAAAAAAAGACTAACAAACGATTAAATAGTAATTTTCTGTTTTCTATGTGGGAGATGAGTTTGTTGTTTTACTAAAAGAACTGGTTCGCGGGGAACGATTGAGCTATCGAATAAAGCGCGCCGATTTCGGTGCATTCTGCAATAGCCTATCGATAACGTTTACCAACACTGATTGTAACGTACCAGGATTTAAGTCCATCGGAATTCAAAAATTCGAATTGTATTTCCGGTTTGGCAGCATTAAAAACTTGAAGATTTATTGTGACAGTAAAGGAAAGAAAAAGTTATATCCTCTTAAATTAGAAAAAGGAAATAAAAGTAGAACTAAGCAGTTTAAAAAAGAAAAGAACTAAATACAAATTGTCGGCCTTGATTGCCACTTCGGTTTTAGCCACTTCGGCTCCGCTTGGCGAGTTGGCCAAAACAAAGCCAGTACGTTGCTGCTGCTGCTGCGAATCGGACGTGTTCGGTAAGCCAGACTTGCGTCATCCGTGATTTGGGCCATAACAAAAACACGTTTACGAAACTTACGTCGTCATCTCGTTCTGGCCCGCGCGCGTAAACCAAGTCAAAAGAGAAGCCAAAAGCGAAAAGCAGGCCAAAGAAACGGCTACAAAACAAACCGAAAGCAAAAGTGAGTGCAATTCAGGGGAGAGTTTTTTGTAACTTCTGTTACTGTTGCTGCAGTAACCATGAACTGGTCTTAATAAACACAACAAATTGATAACCATAAGCGCGGCTGGCCAAAGTGGATTGTAATTGCCATTACCAAGATTGGACCACAAAATTCATTCAACCGCACACGCGTGCAGTATTAAATGTGTGGCGGCGGCCGTAAAAATCGCCATCGCAAGGAGTCCTCCTATTGATTTTCGGCATTATTTATTAATATGTTCGACAATAAAACTGCTTACAAAATTTGCCACTTCTTCACCTTTCACAACCGCACTCGTATGCTAACAAACAAGTTCAGACATCAAAAATAACCGTGAATACATGGGGAGAAATCTTAGTGAACATTCAAAATTCCAATATTTGTTACACTTAAATTGAATTTCCTCTGTTATAATTTGTACATTGTAAAACATTATTTTTTATCTAAAATATTTTATTTCGAATTATTAAAATTCGAAATAATTTGTTTGTAACATTGCATTTGGATTTTTGAATAGGTATAGAATTGGAAATAAATGAAAACAATAAAGCACCAGGTAAAAGGTTAGCACTGCTATATGAGTAAAAATATTTTGCATTGCTTAATTTAAGACTAACTTGAATAATTAATGTAGTTTTGTTTAATTTTAATTTTGTATATCATAATTTTATTGGCACTGCTATATGAGTAAATTTATTTTTAATTGTTTAATTTAAGCAATGTTAACTTGAATAGTTTATGTAGTTTTGTTTAATTCCTATTTTGTATAATATAATTTTATTACCACTGTTGCAATAGTGAATTTTTTATGATTTGATTAATTTAACCAATCTTAGCTTGATTAATTTATGTAGTTTTTGTTTAAAAGTCGAATGGGCTTATATGAATTTGTGATGATATATTAAAAACTCTGTGAAAGTGGTACAAAAATATATATAACCTTCGGTCGGAATTGTTTTGATGCTGTATTAAGAAAGCTAGTAGTGAATATTTAAAATTATTTGTTAGCAATGTGTCAAAAAGGTTCAACATATAATTTGTACCTTCATAAATATTTGTAGGTAGGTTAGCACCAATTTTTTTGAAAACTATTGTACAGGGCACACTTTTTCAGTGTATTCGTATGTGAGAACGTCAGTCCATTTCTGGGCTGCCGCTGACAGCTGCCAAGTGCCAGGAGCTTGTCGTCAACAAGTCTATCAAAAGCACGTTTGTCATTTTTGTTGCAGTCGCCCAGCCAGCAGGTGCAGGTGCCTCCCACCTAGCCACCCACTCCTCCACCCACTCAACCGCCCACCCACTTGTCTGACTATGTAATATGTGCCAGTGTGTGTTGCAGTGTCTGAGAGCAGCTTTTGTGTTCGCAAATTTGAAGTTTGTTTGAAACTACATATATTGGTCGCTCTATCCTTGTCGCCCTCGCTGACATCCATCCTGCTCTGGCGCTGAGCACTTTGCCATTTTCATTTGCATTTTCGCCATCCCGCTTTCCACCGTCTAGCGAAAATCAATTGTTGTATGGAATAAACGCAAGACGAGCCAAGCGCTGCCAACCAGTTTTTGCGGAGCCAAATTCCGTTTTCCAGTTTACATAAACACTCGACACTTTTGTTTAAAAAAGTTCAGCAAGATCAATTTTTTTTATTTTGTTTATTTATTTAATATGTACATAATTAATATATTTTAATATTTTATTTAATTAATATTATTTCTTTAGTACAATCATTTCGGTTTAATCTATAATACCAATTTTTAATACAAACAAAATCATTTGGTTGGGTCCGAAGTTAAATCAATTAAAAAACATTTGGTTGTATCTAAAGTTAAATCAATTGTTTTTCCGAACACATTGTAATAATGAAATTATTTAAATTTCATAATTTAAAAGGCAAACGTAATTTTTTTTTTCAAATTTATCATTTATTTTATATTATTTTGACAACTTTAAATTGTATTGAAGTGTACTTGTGCTATGTAGTAAATATTATTAGAAGTTATTGTCTTTGGTTTCCCGTGTTTGTGTTATTCTTGCATAAGTTGTTGACCTATTTATTAAAGAAAATAAACAATTTTAACTATTCAATTAGTTTTTTAAATCTATATATAGCATAAACACAGGTGTGGTTAACCGCACCTTTTTATAAATACATCTTATAAATTCTTAATATTTTAATTTGTGTTATAGTTAGCCTGTTTATCCTAAAAGGTAATCAATTATTAAGAGCAATTTACTTAGAATACTTAACGAAGTTTCAAGACCTTGAATTTTAATAAAGAGAAAAACCTATTGCTTTCAAATTACCTACATATAAATTTAATATAATTTCCCATAATTAAGGTTTTAATTAAGGTATTGTTTAATATGAAATAAGATACGCAATCAAAATATATTTATTTATCACCACAAAATCCAATCAATTATAAATGGCAGACTTCTTTAACAACATTTCAAGTATTGTCGGAAGATTGAAATTTAATCGCGCACTTGTGCAGCTTTAAATTGTTTAAGAGTTTTAAAGCAGCAACAGGCGAAAGTGTTGTTTTCAAGAGTTTTCAGCTTGATTTAAAGATTTTAAAAACGTGTAAAGTCTAAAGGAGCAGCATAGTTGACTTTAAAGCTGAGCTTCAGTTTACATTTCACACCTCTTACCGCCCACCGCCCACAAGTGACGTCGCTGCTGTTGCTTTATTCAAATTGAGTTGTTGTTTATTCATGCATTTGTTGCACTTCCCCACGGTTTATTGTTGCCCCAACACCAACGCCAGCGCACACACTCACCCAGACTGTTGTATGTATATTCATTCAAAGGGGGGATCCCCATGTTATAACACCCCCTCAATCCCCCACCGCCACCCATCGCTTTCCAGGCCTGACATTTCTAGCTCGACTCAAGTGTCTGTTACGTTTAAATGTCGGCTCACAGCTACAGTTGCAGTTGAAATTACAAACACGGACACACTTGTGTACGTATATGTTGACATGTGGCATTTTGTATATCTAAATGCATAAGCAGTTTATTTGTCTGTGTGGGCCGTTGGCTTGAAGTGCACTTTCACTTTTTTCCACAGCCGTAAACAAAAACTGGCAAAACGGCAATAGTGACCCGTCTCTTTCTTTTTTTAACTACCTATCTATCTCTTTTTTCACTATTTTTCTAGCTCTATCCTTTTTTATCTACCTATTTTGCCATCCCTTTCTGACTTAACGAAACGTTTCAATTGCCGAAAGTTTATTTTGGCAATGGCAAAATGCAAACGGTTAAGGTAATCGCGTTTTGGAGTTTACAATTACAACATTACAATTTCGAGCAATGTAACCCAAACACCCACCCAGCGGTTCGAGACCGAAGCAGATTATAATTAGAAACGAATTTGGTGCCAATCAATATTATGTAGCTTAGATAAAGGGCATAGGGAATAAAAGGGGAAAAGCATGAAAATCATATTACGCATACGTCGTGTTGTACCAAATTGGACCTTTCTCTGTATACGACAGCCATTGGATAAGGGGGCAAATGTATTTTTCATGTATACTTTTTTTTGTGTGTTCCTGATACAAATTCAGGTTAAGCCTAATCAAATTGCAATTAAACATAGGTTAGCGCCGAAAAAAGAGAGGCCCAGAAAGGAAATAATAAATGCGGTTGGGTGGTAATCTCATTTGGTTGTGGTGTGAGCTAGACATCTGGTGGTTTGCTTGGATTAGCTTAGCTAATCCACTTTGCAGTAATTATCTCCGAAGGAAGGCAATCTGTTTTCCGAATTTATCTCTTTTCACACAAAGTGTCCAAGTTGATTGATTTGGTTGTGCTAGGGAAACTTATCTTCTAAGCTACGCTATGTTGTGTTTTTTGGAACTTAAATCATCCATCAGTGTCAAGATATTTGTGGTGTCGAAAGCAAAGTATAAGGTTAATTAAAGTTTTATTAAATACAGGTATAGACATTTTTTTGGGAATCTTTATTGTCACAACTATAATTGGAAAAAAGTAGCGAACATTTTTTTTAAGTCCAACTACTAACCAATCAAAAAAGGTAAGGGAATAGCTAAGAAGAGCGAACGAAAGAAAAGGACAATCAATTCAATAATCCAAACAGCAATCAATATGCAGTTCAGACTCCAATTTCCATTCCGCATTGCCCCCAAAGTTGGTTGGCATTCGCCTGGATTCAGTTCCATTCTCGTTTTCATCCACTCTTCAGCCAGGGAACACCTAATAAAAGCTTATTTACATATGAATGCCATGTCGGTACTGGGTATCCAGTGAGTAAATTGTGCAAAAATGCGAGATGAACTTCTTTCGGGTCGGCGGATGGCCTGGGAACTGGTGGCGAATCCACCACCTGACATCTGACTGACGGGGTGTGGAGATGTGTGGAGGACTGTGACATCCAGAACGACGAGTGCCAATGTCCTGGCCCCGAATGTCAGATGTTTTGTGTGCGTCTGCACACATTTTTTTGTGCTCGGGTCGAGGCTTTTGCATTCAAGTGCATCCCCAGTTTTGTTGTGCACTTTGCTGGGTCAGGCATTGCTCATTCCCCAGCTCCCAATTTCCCTTCCTGTCCGGCGGAATTGCTGTGCTGATGGTGATGATGCCACCTGCTGCTTTGTCACTGAAATTTCTCTGCATTGCACCGACCACGTTGCGTATGAGCGATGTGTGCCCTTCCAAAATAACAAGCTTTGTTTTAGTTGCCACGACTTAAATGCGGCATGACTAAAAAAGATGTACAAAAATATCTCTCTTGTTACACCCTTTAAAAACTATATCAAGTGTAGGGTAACTTGTTTTATAAACGAAAAATAAAAATAATTTCTCGGGATTTTCATTTAAAAAAAATATATATAAGTTATAGGGTAGCTTGTTACAAAAGAAAAAAAATTATTCTCGTATTACTGAACAAGAAATCTATTCCCATAAAGTTTTAAAAAATCGGGATGACTAATATTTATTTAATTAAAAAGTTTATATTAC